GCGCCACCCCGTCCGCGCCAGGCGCGGCCAAGCCTGCCGCGCGCCACCGCCGCCGCTCGCTCAGGCAGCCGTCGCGCCTGGTGCGCCACCGCCGTCGCGCCCAGAGGGCCGCATCCTCAGCCCGCCGCCGCTCCCAGAGGTCGATGGCGTCTGCCCGCCGCGGCCGCGTCGCCAAGCGCTTTGCCGCTTAGGTGCTGGTGCGTGAAATTTCTTTGAGTTGCCCATTGATGCACACCGTTTGCGTCTTTCTCTCCTCTTTTCCATATACAATGTTCCTTTTCCCCTTCATTATTCTTCTTCTTGCATATTTTCACAGCTTTTTACTTTATCCGTACCCGGTTGTTACCCTTCTTCATCATGTGGCACAAGAGCCCCGGCGTCAATGGTTTCTAACCCCCTTTTTCTGTCTTCTTGGCAATCTGGCGTCCTGGTGTTTCTAATTTACATTTGCATACAAAATTGGCGTTTGTTGGATGGCCCATCTAGCTAGTTACATACCCTGATAGAATATTTCAGTTTTTAACATCGAGAACTGTCCTGTTTACACCACTCACTGCTCTATCCATCTCTACATGCGCATGTCTCTTGTCCGTCCGCAAAGCATCTCATTTAGGCTAGTCTGCAAAGGCGTTTTCTGTCTGATTTCACAACTCTCGCTTTACCTTGCATAGCTTTTTGTTGGAACTTTACCTTAATTCCCACGCCTCACCCTACCTGCTGTCTTGGTCCTGTCGTGACAACATAAAGTGAGATAGGTAGTGGTCGCGTCTTTATGAGAATGTTGGAAGCCGGTACTCGAAGAATGGAAATGCCAAGCATGGTGTTGAAACACAGTGAAAATTTCTATGGATGCAAGGTAGCGCTGCGCGAGTACAAACATGAAAAAAAAACAAATGCGTCCTGCAAGTACCCTAACTCTATCCTATCAGCTCCCCTCTGCTGCGCGAGCGCCTCCGGTGCCGGCTCTGCCTCTCGCTCCTCCGCCAGGAATCTTGCTTCTCAGCGCGGGCCCCGCGAACCCGACGCCTGTATCTACCGGACTGTGTCATGTTGTCGGTGGCCTGTCCACCTTTCGGCTTTGTGCCCTCGTCTTTGGGGGAACCGCCGCCGCCCGTGTAGATCTTCTTGCCGGTGGCGGGATGTACAAACACGTCCCACTCCTCTTGATCTTTCTCGCTAGTCTTTTCCCCCGTCTGGCGGTTGGTGCTGATGGTCGGGACGGGTATGGAGGACACGCCAAGGATGCCGTGGGACGGCTTGGCGGGCCGGTTGATGCCCTGGGGCTTTTTCTTGTCTCCTGCGAGATTTGGAGGCTCCCACGGGCTCTGTTTCTTTTGTCCTGGGTCAGATTCCGGTGTCGAGCTGACTCGGTCTTGTTGTCCGACGGGAACCTTGCCAGGACTGTTCTCAGGAACATGGTGGTTCGGGCGCTGATCTGCGATGGGAAGGGCATTGCTCAGTAGGTCTAAGCCTCCTGGATTTTGGGTCGGCGCGGGCCCTGGCCCTCGAACAAAATCTGGAACCTGGGGTGAAGTCTTTGCGCCCTGACTGGGTGTTACAGGCAGAGAACCAACCGGGACATTCGGGACACCTGGAATCTTCTGCTTTCTGGAGCTCTGCTGTGACTCTGGCTCGGCGCTGTGACTCCACTGGGGCCGTCCATTCAGTTGCAAGGCCTTGCCTTTGGGGTCCTGCGCTGGCACCGCGTGAGCAGCGCCGGCCCCTGGCTTTCGATTGGGACCAGGCCGCCCATCGACGATGACGCCTTGTGCTGGCCTTCCGACCGGAAGACGCCATGGAACTTGGGTCCCAGCTCCCAGCTTGCGGCTTGGCCGTCCCTCAGCCGGCATGTCCTCTTGTGCCAGCTTGCCTGCGGGTAGATCCGGTGAAGGGCGGCTCTGGTGGCTGGGGTCCGAGTTGTACTTGTCTCCGAGGGGAAGTTCTCGGCTGGGAGACGAGTTTTCCGGCGTCGACCAAGGGAATTTTGTCCCAGGTGTAGAGTCGGGAATATTAGTACGTCCACTTCCCGGAGTGCCCAAGTCGACCATATCATTTCCGAAGGAGCCAGGCTTTCCTGTGCGGCGGCTCTCTGACTCTGAGCCCTGAGCCAGCTTGCCGGGAAAGAGCTGGGTGGCCTGCCACTGGGGAGGTGTGTGTGGAGGGCCGTATGTCGGAGCCTTCCGCTGAGGTTTCAATATTGGAGGCGATGGTGGTTGGAAGCCATTCCCACCTGGCCGATTATGCCCACCCCTGTTCTTGGTACCGGGTACGACCGCAGGCCAAGGACTAGCGATGCCGGCTCGGGCTGGGGCGTTGACAGCAGGCGGTGCCGCTTGCCACCGACTGTCGCCATTGACCCCAAGCTCGGAGTTAACCACGGGCCTTTGGCTGCCATTTTCCATGGGAAGGTTGGCGGGAATTGACGGTGGTGGGTTCTTTGCGATTGCCTCCCAGTCGTCAACGCTGCCAGGATTCACCACCTTCGAAGGCGCTGGCCTGTGACCCCCAATGCGCGGGTTGCTAGCGTGCGGTGGCGCAAGTGGCGGGGCGACAAGCTCCCAGTCCTCGTAGGTGTCACCATAGAGGTAGTACTCATCCTCCTCCTCATCGTCATTGTACGGATCGACAGCTTGTGTCGGTCGCGGCCAAGGATTGGTGTAGCGTGTTGTCGGCCTGGTACTGAATATTGGGGATAGAGTTCTGGTCCTCGTCCTGGTAGGGTCCAAAGTCTTGGTGGTGGTGGTTCTGGATTTTCTCGTGTGGGCGGTAGTGGCTGTTGTTCTGGATGCGGGAGACAAAGTTGTGGTCACGTTTGTCCTGGGTGAGGTTGTGCTGATGGTGTGGTTATAAAGCGGGGTGCGTGTCTTTCTGGTGGATGTCCGCGTCGAACTATAAATCGTTGAGGCTGTCGGTTTGCTTGTCAAAGACGGGTTGATGGTCTTGGACGCTGTAGGAGTCTTGGTCTTCTTCCTTGATGAAAATTTCCATGTCGACCGAGAGGATTGGCTCTCATCTAGTGATGTCGTGGTAGTGCTTTCGCTTGAGGAGGTCGTCGTTGCCGTCTCAGAAGAAGAGGTTGTCGAAGAGCTCTCCTCAGAAGTCGTTGTGGTTGCCGTGCCAGTGCTGCCGCTGGAGCTTGCCGAGGTGGTGGTGGTCGTTGTTGAATCCGAGCTTCCTCCCACTCCCGACTTCTGGCTCTCGTGATTGTCGGTGGGCTTGGTTGAGTTCTTGGTCCATTTTCCCCTTTCGTCAGGTGAAATTCTTGTCCACTCGTCGTCTATGAGCTCCTCAATCCTGCGCTCACTGGCGCCCTGGTTGTCGTCACGGACGCGAGGGCGGATGGCGTCTGCAAACTGGGTCTGCGCCGGAGACGCCACCATCACTAGCCTTCCACCTGCCCCCTCGAGCAGTATCCTCCGGGTCGCGGGAGCGGCACCATCTGTATATCCCGTTTGGTGGATGTTGTTCCTGCAGTGCAGGTCGTCACCGATTCTTCCCTCTAGCAGCGCGCAGGAGGTCCCCTCAGGGGCGGCCCAGCCCAGCGCTGCGAGCGCTAAGACGGTAGCGGCCTCCAGCCGCATAGCGGTTCGGTCGTCCCAGCCTGGGACGCTTCCGATTTTTGGCTTGTTCTCTATTCGCTGGAGTATGGAAATGCGTTGTAGAAATTTTGTTTGCTGAGTTAGCTTCCCACAGGGTGTCTCGCAGTTGTTGCTTCTTGCAGCTGGGATGTCGTTGAAAGGGTGACAAATGGAGGCATATTGGCCAGAGTTGCGCGCCAGGCGCGCAGGGAGTTGCGTGGTCCATATAGGAAGAGGTTAGAAGCCGCTGTGCTCTTGGAGTAAACAGTGATGGCACGAGTAGTAATTGATAGGAAATAGTAGTAATGTTCCTTATTGCTATGTGTACCGTGTATTGTTTCTGGCGTGATGAACAGCAGGCGCTGTGGTTGAAGGCTTGGTTTGGCGGCGGGGAGTCTCGCTTCCAGCTTGGCGGCCGATTTGGTCGGCAGCTTACTGTTTCCAGCACACTGAGCCACCAATGGCGGGGCGCAGCGGAGGCCTGGGCTAGGACTATGATGCTGGGAATCAATCAGCCAGACACCAATTCACCTAACTCAGCCGCCTCCAAGGAACGGGAACACGATGCAGATCTCGGAATTTATCTCTGTGCCGTTCAAGGTACCCATTTGGAACCATCAATGGCAGCCACACGTGCGGCGCTAATTGCGAGTAGGCGCAACACCAGAACATCCCAGCTTGTCCACCCAACGAGAAGCGGCTTACGTCAAATGCATTCAGAGCTTGCGGCCTCCTGTCACACCTTTGCACGAGATCATCAGGCTACTGGCCGACGCCATGCGCCAGCTGGTTCTTGATCAAGCATGCACAGACCACACTGTCAGCCGCATGCGCTAGATAAAATCCCCGTCGTCAAAAAGTGACAACAGAACAAACCACGGCCTCAAACGCTCTTTCGCCATGTTGAACGCAATCCAGCGAGCCGAGTGAAGCCTCCAGGCTTCGAAATGGATCCCATCTCAGCTCTCGGGGCCGCCAGTGCCGTGATTGGGATTGTGGGTTTCGCGATCCAGCTCTGCGAGGTGCTCCACAAAGTCAGCGGCGAGATCAAGGGCGCCCACGACAGCCTGGTAGCTGCTGTGGCAATCATCGAGTCCACGGCTGAGTCCCTGAGGCTTATACATCAGTACCTGGATGTGGAGAGCCAGAACCAGCAGTCGGGCCAACAAGGTGGGCTGTTCTCGAAAGACGCGCTCATCTTTGTCAAAAACAACGCCGACAGGTGCTTGCTCGTCTTCTGGAGGATCGAGGCTACCGTGCTGGACAAGTCCGACAAAAACCTGGAAGGGATATTGCGCGTCAGGCTTGCAGAGTTCGATTCCAAAGCCAGAGCCCACCCGGGTGACCTCAAGCTCAGTCCGGAGCCTGTGCCTCAATCGCTCTCCTTTCTGGGGCGTCTTCGCTGGCCTCTGGTAGCACCCAAATTGGACGAGTTCCGGAGCCAGCTTCAATTCCACCAGCAGTGTCTGTCGCTAGTCTTCATGGTCATTTCTCTCGGCGAAGTGCGAAGCAAGCCGTAAGTCACAGCCTTCCGCCCTAACTTGTGCTGATATAGGGCCAACCCGACGTCTAACGCCAGATTTGAAAAGCACTACCTCAAACCAAGACGTGGCGAGTATGGCCAAGATGGCACGCGAAATAGAAACCGCAAGCAAAGAGATCAAGTCTATCATGAAGACTGTCCACTCTATCCGCGGCATGGTCAAGGAAGGCGACATCAATATAGGCGTACTCTTTGGAGGGCCTGGGAGCGGAAAGCCAGCAAAGCGTACAGATCCCCGCCCTGCTAGGGACCACCAGGACGACTTGCAAAACGGCCCCAAAAGTCCCACTTCAGCCTTGCCATCGCCTTTGGTCCATCCGCGGGACCCTCCAGCATCGCCACCGAACCCCCCAGCTTCATCCCGGCTGGAGAGAGAGGATTTGACAAATGGTAAGCGCCCGAGAGTTGAAGACTCGGCAACTCGCCAGGACTTGATAGAAGGATAAGCCTAACTTTCTCTCACCGAACAGAGCCGGAGGATTTTAAACCTGTTCCAAATCCGCGGGCGCCTGGACTGACAGCTCAGGACGTCGAGATACCGTCTGCAGCTCCGTCTTCGAAGTCTATACCTGAGAGTCCGCGTCGTCCGGACCCGCCAGTCCGCCACGAGCGGGACGAGGTACCCCCAGTCATTGACCCGGAACAGCTGGGGTTTTATCCGCATTCAGCCATCGCTTATCCTGGGAAACAAGTCAGCTTCCATTCATTGCCGATACCTTCTCCTCACACTGTGCCCACGGCCTCGGATTTGCCATCCAACCCTTTCAGACCCTTATCCACGGACGGCATTGATGCTAGATTTGCAGACGTCCCTTTGCCCATTCCCAGAGATCCTCCAAGCCGCATTCCGACTGTCGACCCAAGGGAACCCCAGGCCCCTAGAACCGAGGAGCCAACCGTTGCCACGGATGTTGATGATGCTAGTAGTGGCGAGAACGAGGATTCTGGCGACGGCGAGACCGAGAGCGCTAGCGATGGCGACCAAGAGAGTGGTGGAGGTAGATTGGAGCTAGCTGTCTCCGCCTTTGCAAGCTATCGCAATGGCCCGGTCTCGAGGTACATTATCAAGCGCAATGGGACACCTATTGTACTCGGTCCCGCACCGCTCGGACGGCTGGAGAGGCTAGCCGAAGCGACAAGGTGGTGGCCGTCCAAGGGAGCCATGTGTCGGACACTCACCTCTGCAACTGAGGAGCAACTGGAAGTCCTCGCGGGTCTTCTGAATCTTCCGGACAGCAATGGCAGATCTGTGAGCCGGTCGATCCTCCGCGTTGGAAAGATCAAGGAGCGCGGCGGCCCACATTACAGGGCATATTCCGACAAGAATGGGATCTGGGCCCTACTTGCCGTTGTCGAGGACATGGTCGATGAGCAATCGTCGTTCTCACCAAGCTTCAAAGGAGTCGGGCGCAAGCAAAAGAACCCGGAGACCATGGGCCAAGGATCAGCGCAAGGTAAAATACCCGGCCGGCTTCCATTGGACAGGCCAGAAGTCCGATTCCAGGATCTTTCCAAACTCTCAGGCAGCCGCGACGACTTTACTCGACGACTTACAACTCACCACATCTGGAAGATTCAACCATTCCTCAACACCCAGGGCACCCCATACACCGCCGCCAGCGCTGCCGCGGACTGGACGAGATGCTTCGTCACAGAGGAACATGCGGACCGGGACGAGATAGCTCGCCGATGCGCACAACTGGAGATGAGAATACCGGGAGGACTTTCAACCGCGCGTCGCAAGCTGACTGGCGACCAGCGTGCCCAGATAACAAGGCTGGAGGAGGACCTTGCCCGCGACGAGCAAAGGGCCTCCCCAGGCAGGCAAAACTTCGCTTGGCACGTCGAACAGCTCGAGGTCGTCAGGCCAGCAAATCACATGGGCCTGTTCGAGACGGCACGGAAGAAGAGAAAGCAAGCATGGGACGTATCCGCAATCCTCGTATTTTGTACGCGCCGTCCCGCAGATGGCGTGGATGTGGCGGAGCTCTTTTACACGACCACCACCTCTGCACGTGGAAACGAGCTCCCAGTCTACACAAAGATAGCCCGGCGCCATCTTTCATTGGAGACCCTAAAAACGTTCAACATCTCTTTTGAAATCGACCCACAGGTATGCAGAACCGTCCGCCCTTCTGTGGCCGTCACCTTTTGGTGTCCCGCCAGCGTGGTCTTCTGCAGAAGCAGGTCCCCTTCAGAATGGTGAGTCAAGCCAAGCGTCGAGGTGCTAACCTTTTCACAGGATCCTAGTTACTTCATCATCAAACGCTGGGTACCTGAAGAGGAGCAGGAGCGGCTCTGGCAACACACCCGGACCATTCGCGATAGACGAGGCGTATCCACTCCCATGGACATCCCCCATCAGGACCCTGACGCGGCCCCAGCTCTCGTGAGGCAAGAGGATGACAATTACGGCCCGAGCGATACCTTATCTTCGGTCGCTTCCGTGGTGACTAACGGCGAGGTTCCCCCTAGACTATCACGTCTTCGAAGCCGGTACGAGCCGGAGGGGGCGATGCGGCGCCAGATGGAACTAGAGAAGAGGGCCCGACACGAAAAAGACCTGAAGGCAAAGATTCGACAGGAGGAGGAGGCTAAGGAGGAGGCGATGCGGCGTGAGAGGGAAAAGAGGGCCCAACACCACAAAACCCAAGAGGAAGAGGCCCGACGCCGCAAAGAGGCCGAAGAGGAATCCCGACGCCTCAAGGAGGCAGAGGAGTATGCCAAGCGCCGAAACCTTTTGGAGGAGGAGGCCCGACGCCGTAAGGAAGTGCATGAAGCCACCCGGCGCCAGCGGGATGTGACAGAGGAGGATGTCAAACGCCGAAGGGATCTAGAAGCAGCCGAAATCCGTCAGAGGTACGAGCGAGAGCAGGCCCAACGCAGAAGCGAGCTCGTGGAAGCCGAAATGCGTGAGAGGTATCAGAGAGAGCAGGCCGAACGCCGGAAAGACCTGGATGGGAGAGTCACGCCTGTTCCCGCTCAGACGAGACCGATCATCACCCATAACGGGTTGAGGAGTCAGATGGCGTCGAGACCTAGCGAGTCGAGCCGAACCCCAGCAAACTTTTTGCAGACTACTAAGCCAGCGGGCCGAGGCCGCCGTAACTCCATGAGCCGGACAGACGACTCCGACTCCACGGCCGAGGAGGACGACGACATCGTGGCGAGGCTCCTGTCGCAGTGGACACCTGCGAGAGTGGAGGGTGCCGGCACACACGAAAACGGAAAAGCTTCCCAAGGGGCGGGCCGGGCATCCGATGCCGATGTTGCTGCCGACGGCCTCCCCGAAGCACACCACGCTGATCACCCTACCCGCAGTCGGGACCGCTCGAGGCAGCGCTAGAGACCTTTCCCCTGAAGGTACTGAGAAGTCGCAGAGTCGCCCCAAGCCAAGCCCATGGCAGCGTACTTCTGCCCGGAATGCACCGAATACGGATGGTCCTAGATAGCCGCCATAGCACACCACCTGTCATTCCGCTACCATAGCGACGCCAGGTATGGATAGCCTATTTATTGTGTTGGGTCGCAGCCTCGTTACCACACTTTTTTGAGTACTTCACAACGAATCGGGCGTTTCACCTCCACGTGTGGTAGCATCCCCATTTACCCGACCTACGGAAACAGCCGATTACAACTGGATTCTGTTGCCGCAAAACAAGTTGTTTGTCTGAATGCGCCGTCAGTGCTACCGAGAGTAACCTCAATTTTGCGATTGTTTCTAAAATAAGTCATGTCTTCCCAGAGGCCCATCAGCCGCACCCCGAGGCCGGCAGGGGCGCCACGCCAGCCGGGAGGGCGGACTGCTCCCCACGTTTACTTAAACAACGGTCGGCCCCCGGCACAGCGTACGCACGTAACCCGGGCATCTTACTCGAAAGCTCATCCATGTGGCATACTCCGACTGACCTACCATTGCTACCAACGGATAGCGCCCAGACAGTAAAGAAGATTTGAGTCTTCCAAGGCACGCCGCCGAAACGGAACTCAAGCTATAGCATGGTTTCTATGGCCAAGCTGGCCGTGCTGGCCACCGCCGTCCTAGGCAGAGCCGCAACCGCAGCTCCGGCCTCAGCCTCAGCCCCACCTCCTGTCGTTGAGGCCGCTCCGATGCCGCCCGGCGGGATCCCGAACACTCCAGTACCGTCGTCCGCCCTTGCGGCGCGCGATGTAGACGGCCTTTCCAAGCGCGCCCTTACCGAGATCCAGTTCTGGAAGGACACCCACTTCAGGGGAGAATACGTCTTGACGGGCTTCGAGTCGGGGCTTTGCTGTGAGTCTGACGGCCCCCGTGTCTGAGCATCCGAGCGGGGAGCGAGAAGCTCGCAAGGCAGGAAGCCTCTAACCGTCTTTCTGACACGCGCCTGCCTCCTTAGATACATTCACGGGCACTTGGGATCACTGGAACAAGGCTGTGTCGTCAGTCGATATTATCAGCGGTGGCCCATGCTGGGTATACGAGTATGTGGCGCATTTATTTTATCCTTCCAACTTCCCCAACTCCCATATGATGATCTGTATGCTTCGGGAATATGCCCTCCTTTCTAACCTCAAAACAGAGGTGTTCGCTGCGACATTGCATCCCTGGGCCCCATCACATACGGAACCCCGATAGCAGAGCTGGGAAAGTTTGATTGGGACAATAGGTTCGGTTCAGTGACCTGCCACGCCTAGGCTTATAGTCAGGAAAGGTGTGGTTGCGCATGAAAGGCATGGCCGAAAAGCACGGACGAAAGTAATGAGCAGCTTCCTTCTTTTGGATATCCTAGTTTCTCAGGTCACAGTCTTCAAAACCGTCGTGGAAGAATCGAGTTATTGCATACCTATTTTGCATATTTAGCAAATATTAGCGATTAATTCCGAGTGCCTAGTTTTTGGTGCGTATCAATGGCGACCAACATCTTTCCATGGCAATGTCTGGTGCGTACTTGTCAACAATATCAAATCGTCATGGGCAGCAATAGTTCCCCATGTCGACCTTATTTGTCTCTTGGCTGAGAATCCCAAATGGTGGACGGCGTGGGGTTCCGGTTAAAAAGCGGCCCAATCCAGCAACCGCTGCTACCCCAGGGCCCGCCAGCACCACTTGCCCTTGGCCATTTTATCCGGGTGGTCTATTCCCATGCCTCTGCTAGCCGGTGGGCTTTCTTCCACGAATAAAGACTTTGGGGGCCTCTTCTGCAGGAGATATGCACGCCGGCGGGCCGCCACCGATTCTTGGAACTCACCCTCAGCCCACCGTGGCCCGGCCAGGTTGGATGGTCTCCATTAAATATATCTAGGGTGCGGGGATTCAGGGGTTACTCACACACCGGACAATTGTATTGTCAGTACCATCCAGTAAGAGGCAATTCCCCCAAATCTCGGGGCAATATCCAGCTGAACAAGCTGAAAATAAGCGAGTATCCGGAGAATAGAGTGCGAGGCGTGTGAAGGTAGGATGAAGGTGTGGCATCGAACTTGATCAGATGGCCCTGCCGGCCCTCACCTCGGCTGCCCGGCGCCCGGGAGGTGGGGACGACAAGCCGGAACAAAGTTGGGGAACAAGCCTGGGGAACATGGCGATGCGGGGAAATCCTCCAACCGACATCGTCTTGGGGCATTGGCACGCGCGAGAGGTGCTGGCGTGCCCGAGTAATCTCCCGGCAGAATTCACGGGGGCTCGTGGCGGTATTTTTTCGTCCGTGGTATAATAGCCGGCGCCATTACTTGACGAAAATGCCCAAGTCTAAGGCTAGGCCAGCGCTCCGGCCATCACCTCACCCTTCATCTCGGCAGCCAGCAACAGCAGCAGCTGCCCCCCAAAGATGAAGCCCAACTTCGCTAGCTGGGCCCTGCTCGGAGCCCAGGTCGCCGCCGCCGCGGCAGCCTCTTCGCTCCTCTCCTTCGGCGACGGGGACAGCCCCTACCGGCTCGCCGCCCAGGGCGTCGCGCCCGTCATCAAGGTGTCCGGGGACGACTGGCCGGCGGTGCTGCGGACGGCGCGCGACCTCGCCGCCGACTTTGGGCGCGTCGTCGGCGCCAACGGCACCGTCAGCGTGGTCACCAGCGGCACGGCCACCATCAGCCGGCCGTGCCGCGACCGCCCCGTCATCGTGGCCGGCACCATCGGCCGCTCCAGCTTGATCGACGCGCTGATCGGGGCCGGCAAGCTCGACGTGGCCAAGACAAAGGGCACGTGGGAGTCTTACACGTCGCAGGTCGTGCGTGACGTCGCGCCCGGCGTGCCCTGGGCGCTAGTCGTCGCCGGCAGCGACAGGCGCGGCACCGTCTACGGCCTGTACGACATCTCCGAGACCATGGGGGTGAGCCCCTGGTATTGGTGGGCCGACGTGCCCGTCAAGACGAAGACGGCCGTCTATGTGAAGCCGGAGGGCAAGGTGCAAAAGGAGCCGAGCGTCAAGTACAGGGGCTTCTTCATCAACGACGAGCATCCCGCGCTTCTCGGCTGGGGTGAGTGGCATGGGCGGGATTCCCACCCGCCCTCAGCTCTATATATGCTCGAGCAGCGAGAGCTGACAGAGTCCTTGCAGTCAATGAAAACTTTGGAGGCGTTTGGGGCAGCGAGTTCTATGCCCATGTTTTCGAGCTTTGCCTGCGTCTCAAGGGAAACTACCTCTGGCCTGCCATGGTACGAGCAGCAATGCCACATCTACCCCTAGTCCTCGATATTCCTGCCGCACCCATGCTAATACTCTATCGCTCGCCACCAGTGGGGAAAGATGTTCTACCTGAACGACACCAAGAGCGGCCCGCTTGCCGAGGAATATGGCGTCGTCATGGGCACGAGCCACCACGAGCCCATGGCGAGGTCTGAGAGGGAGCAGCAGCTGTACAACAACGGCGCCTGGGACTGGTCCCGAAACAAGGCAAACATCACAAAGTTCTTCAGGGAGGGGGTTGAGCGGTCCCGCGACTGGGAGACGTACTACACCATGGGCATGCGCGGCTCCGGGGACGAGGCCAGTCCTACATTGACCGCCCCTGCGCTGGAGGAGATCATCGGAGGTAAGCGCACCGTAGTGAGTGAGGATGACTGTCGCCGGCCATGAGCTAATGTTTGCTGCAAATTTAGTCCAGCAAAAGATCCTTTCCGAGATGTTCAATACGACCGACATGCTCAGCATCCCCCAGACCTGGGTTCTTTACAAGGTTAGTCGCGCTGCGCGAGGCTGAATAGCACAGAGCCAGGATTGTGGTCCCTTCCGTCAAGTCCGCATTCCTATGCCTCTCATACTAACGGCAAGCAGGAGGTGAGCGAGTACTACAAGGCCGGACTCAAGGTCCCCGAATCGGTCATGCTTCTGTGGACCGACGACAACTCCGGAAACCTGATCCGCGTGCCCATCGCCAACGAGACTGGCCGTGTTGCCGGCGCGGGTGTCTACTACCACTTTGACTACGTGGGCGCGCCGAGATCCTACAAGTGGATAAACACCATTGTGAGTCGGCCTAGGCGTGATTTTTCCCTGCCCATTGGACGCAAATCATGTTGAGCAGCGATGCTAACTAGGTGGCACAGCAACTGGTCAAAACATGGGAGCAAATGCACCTCGCGTACGCGAAGAAGTGAGTTTTTACCCCCTTGCAACATCCTGATACCATGATTGGAATGAGATGCGAGCGGTGGCTGACTCTCATGTTGCCTATAGCGCACGCCATCTCTGGCTCGCCAACGTGGGCGACCTCAAGCCTCTGGTACGATTGCGCTTCCGCCCTTCCAGAACCATATCATGTGTTCCCTCCCGCACGCGAGGGCCCTTCTCCTAACACCCCGACTCGCACACAGGAAATCCCCCTGACCCAGTTCATGGACATGGCCTACGACATGGACCGCCACACCGGGCCCGACGCCACCACGGCCTGGCTCAAGCGCTGGGCGACCAGCGAGTTCGGCGCGTCGGCCGCCGACGCCACGGCCGCCATCCTCAACGAGTACGGCGTCCTGCTGGGGCGGCGCAAGTACGAGCTCCTCAGCGACGAGCCCTTCAGCACCACAAACTACGACGAGGCCGAGCGGAACCTAGCGCGGTGGGGGGCGCTGCTCGAGCTCACGCAAAGGACGTACGACTCGCTCGACGCCGCGACCAAGATCGCCTACTTCCAGCTCATCCTCCACCCCGTCATGGCCGGCAAGACCGTCGTGGACCTGTACACAAAGACGTGGCTCAACAAGGTCGCTGCCGGCCAGGGCCGCGTCAGCGCCAACACCCTCGCAGCCCAGGCGGCGGTGCTGTTCACCAGGGACGCCGAGATCACCAACATGTACCACTCGCACAACGGCGGGAAGTGGAATCACTTTGTCGACCAGGGTATGTGCTGTAACCTTGGTGTAACATCGTGTTGCCGTATCAAAGCTAACCCTCTTCTGGCTGCTTCCTCACAGTTCACATTGGGTAGGACATCCTTTCGAGACAAACAAACAGGGAGTGCAAAGTTCAATGAAGCATGAACTGACCATCGGTACCGCAGATACACGAGCTGGAACGACCCCCCGGCAAACATCATGCCCAAGATGAGCTACACGGGCCCGGCAAACGCTCCCGGTGCAGGCAGCCTCGGAGTCGCCTTCGAGGGGTCGACGACGGCGCTGCACGACGGTGCGAGCGCGCGCATCCTCTCGGTCGACCCGAACCTCCCACCCGCCGACGTGAGGTGGCTCGAGATCTTTGCCCGCAAGAACGGCACCTTCCCGTACACCATCACCTCCAACGCGAGCTTCGTGGCCGTGACCAACGCCGAGGGCACCATCACGGCGCCCGGCGACGGCTCCGACGTCCGCAGCGTCGTCAGCGTCGACTGGGACGCGGCGCCCGAGGGCGAGACCAGCGTCGCGCTCAGCGTGCGCGGCAGTGGCGCCGTGGTAGCCACGGCGATCCTGCCCGTCGTCAAGACGTCGGTGCCCGCGGGCTTCAGCGGCTTCGTGGAGAGCAACGGCGTGGTGGCCATGGAGGCGGCGCACTTCGCGTCGGCCGAGAGCAAAGGGGGTCTGTCGTACGTCGAGATCCCGCACTACGGGCGCACGCTCTCGGGCGTCAAGACGATGCCGGCCACGTCGGGGTCCCAGACGGCGGCGACGGGGCCCGCGCTCAAGTACTCCCTGTACGCCACCAGGGGGAGCGCCTCGGCGGCGCGGCTGGTCGTGTACCTGGGCGCGTCGCACAACCACGACCCGACGCGGCCGCTCCGGTTCGCCTACTCGTTCGACGACGCCGCCCCAGCTGAGGTCAAGCCCGTGCCCGACGTGCCCATCTACCGCGAGGGCCCGGAGTGGCGGTCCGCCGTCGTGGGCGGCGGGTGGATAAGCACCGTGACCATCCCCGGCGGGCTTGGAAAGGGCGCCCATGAGCTGTCGCTGTGGTTGCTGGAGCCGGGGGTGGTGGTGCAGAAGATCGCAGTCGACTTTGGCGGACTGCGCCCGAGCTCGTTCGGACCCCATGAAAGCAAAAACGTTTGAGGACAAGAAGGAGAGAACAGCTGATGTTCTGACGGCAAGAAATATAGGACCTTGGGTACTGTAATCGGGTGTCAGATATACCTGGACACTGAATAATGTGAGCCCGAGTTCGTGCTCGACTGCAGCGATATTGCAATCCTACCAATGTTCATGAGGATAGAATGCGCCGCGCCTTACACATCTGCCATAAAAAGAGAGATCTGTATTATAATTATGAGGTCTCTCCCATCTTCTTTTTGGTATGCTCCAAGACTGTCCTGATGCCCTCGTCCAAGTCGGCTCGCGAAAGCATGGGCTGAACCCAGGCCACCGTCCTCGCGGCGAGCTCCGCTTTCCTCTCCGTCGCCGCTAGGCCCTCCTTGAGGCGCGCGAGGGCCTCCCTGAGCGCGCCCGGGAGCGCCGGCCCAGCCAGGTCGTCGATGACGACGAGCGGCTGCCGGACGCGGCAGTCCCACGTCGCGGGGTGCGCCGGGAACAGCTCGACCATGGTGTCGACAACGTGCTGGAGCAGGTCCGAGCACGATTCGACATCGGTCGCGTGGCGCGCAAAGACGCTGAAGAAGGTCTCTGCGGCCGCTGCGTCGAAAAAGTTCTGCTTGCGCGAAATATCAAAGATGGCCCGTGGTATGGCGCCGCCCAGCGCTGGGCTCTTTTCCAGCTTCGCGACCGCATCCTCGTCCACGATTCTTGGCCGCAGCTTCTTCTTCTCCAACTCCTTGAACGCGAGCCTGTCCGGGTCCGGGATCACATCCTCGTCGTCGTCATCGTCGTCGTCGTCGCTCTCGTCGTCGTCCTTCAGCTTGATCTGATCGCCCTCGTCGACCGCCTGCGCGGCCTGCACGGCGGCGATACCCTTCCTGCCCTTGCCGCGCGCCTCGACCCGCGCTAGCCACTCCATCTCGACGCGGGCATATTCGGCCCAGATGTCGACGCCGCGGCAGAAGCGGCAGCCGCGCATGAAGTAGGCCCGCGCGCCATCCATGTCGCCGGCGCCAGCGGCCCTGCGCCCCGCCAGCGCCCAGAGCGACGCGTCCTGGGGGTGCAAGCGCAGCGCGCGCGTGGCCACCCGCCTCCACCGCTTGGCGGCCCCGATGCGGGCCAGGTGGGCGAGGTAGGAACGCCAGAGGGCGACGGAGCCCGGGTCGCGCGTCACGCCGCGCTCGTGCAGCTGGTTCAGGCGCGCCGGCGAGGCGTGCTGGTGGGTCAGCTGGCGGACGCCGAGGCGCGCGCACCGCCGCGCCCGCAGCGTCTCGAGGCGGGACTCCCACTCGGCATAGGCGAGGAAGTCGGCGGCGCGGGAGCCGGGCGAGAGGACGCGGTGCTCGAAGTCGGTGCGCTTGCGGACCAGGTTGCGGATCTCGTCCTGGAGGCAGGAGAGAGACGGTTAGCAGGCCTTGTTGGCCGTGGGCGCCTTGTGCGAAACATCGGGCGGGGGTCGCTCGAAACGAACCCTGTTAAAGATTTCCTTATCCTCAAACTCTCGGAGCTGAGGCACGGCCTGCTCGAGGTAGAAGCGAGCCTTGTCCGCGACGCCCGCCATATCAGATTCTGGCCGCCCGCTACTTGATCCGGTTGTGTGATTTTACTTTATTGAGCTTCGCAGTCGACAAATCATGGGTAATCGCAGCTTCATCCTCTCTGTCATGGAATTTTCTCTGGTGGGTCTTTGGACTTTTTAGTAGGGTCCGATTATCCGATAGGCTTATCGTCCGACGCCATAGGCGGGCGCCTCTTGGACACACCCATCCAAAAGTACGGCTTTCCCCTGAACTGCACCACCAAAATCGAACATGATGCAGAATCCAAGGTCAGCAACTGCACGTTTACTTTGCTTCAACTGAACTACCTAGGTTTCTACAGCTAGTATCGCAAATCCAAATCACTTCATGGCCTAGATCCAACCCCCCTTGCCTTCACACTTTGGCCATGTTGCCTCTATTCAGGATTGCTCGTAGGCGACTGGCTTGTTCTGGGCGACCCAGAGCTTCTCGGCTTCTGATCCAGACTCCGGTGGGTACAAGCCAGAGGTCATCCAGAGCTTACGGTCCGTTTCGGCGATGAAAAACTCCCTGATATATCACAATCTCAGCTTCCCTGCCGTGGAGGCTCTAACGTCTAGGGGTTGCTCACCAATCGATTCCTTTGTCCGTGAGGTGGGGCTTCAGCATTCGGTTAAGGGAATCCGTAAAATTCCTGTAGACTTTCTCGTCCTCGGGCAGCCGACGAGCAACATGGGAAACTGAAATCCTGACAAAGGGCGTCTTGCCGGCCAGCGGCTCTCCTCCGGAGAACATGTCGCTGGCTGGCAATTGGATGAAGTTGACACCGACATAGAACGCTGCCAGTTTCAACGGGTATGAGAGACTGGAGCATGGGGTCCTCGTATAACCGAATTTTGGAGACTCACGCGGAAGGCCGACGGCCGTGTAGATCGAGGTAATGTCGGCTGCCAGAGCGCGCTTCGACTCCGGGTCGGTAAAGACCTCGGAGGGGTGGTAGATGAGCCAGAGAGGCATAGCTGTTGGCCCACTGGCGGGTATGTAGAAGGAGCTTGGTTGGGTTGTTGTAGGGAGAAGGGGTGACAATTAGAAAACTAGCGGCACCAACTGCAGGAATCGGCTGCGCTGCCTTTATCTACAAGTAAAGGTCTCATCATCTCGTAAAATTTAGGAAACATTGGCCCTTCCCGTCTAGCCACCCTTGCTGAGCACCATAAGTCGGTGAATTATCTCGTTGCACTCTTGATTTCCTGATTAATGATCCCGGCCGAAGTCGAGCAACAGTGGAACCGCAATCACAAAGGCAAAGCAAAAAGGATCGGCGAGATAGGTAATCGTGAGCTAGGGAACTAACTGTATGCGATTTCTATCATCCAATCTGGAAGTCAAGATTACTCAACCTGGCCGACAAAGGTTTGGACGTGATCACTAAACATGAAATGCCGATTAGAAAAACGCTGACACAGAAAAAAAAGACGGAATGGAAGTTGGTTGATAAAGTAGATAGTATCATTCTGTAAGCCTTGCCGGTGTGTAAAAAAAGTACTGTGATGTTGTGTAGTGGCCGAAGATGCGGCCGTAGCTACGCCTCCCGGGCCAATATTGACTAGCGCCTCAGCTCTCGCGGTTGCCGTCCATTTCAGTCCGAGTCCTCCGCGTCGCTGATGGAGTCACTCCGAAAGTCATGGGGCAAGACGAATCTGGGATAGCGGCCCGAGGCCGTCGCGGACACTGACTGCCACCTCGGGCTAGGGCTCGTACGAGGGCGGACCCGTACGGGGCGGACTCTTACTCATCAGCAAATATCTCCTCTTGGCTCTGTCGATGACCTCCTCCCCCGTCTAGGACCAAGCCCCCTTGTCCGTCTCCGACTCGTATATGACCACCGGGTTGGTCGAGACGCACGCGATAGCGTTCTGGCCTCCCAGAGCCTCGCTGGCGGCCCAGGCCTCGGCGGCGGTCTTGTAGATCCTCGGGGTCATGCTCGCGAGGTCGTTCCTTCTCGGTGCGAGGACAATGCCGTATTGCACGTTCTTGGCGCCTTCCCTGTCCAGGAGCATGCGGCCAATAGCGGCCAAGTTGCCGAGCTTGGGGTATACGATTTCCTGGACTGATCCAGCGTCGTCTTGCTGGAGGAAGTTAGCATTGAGGCGAATCAGCTTGGAAATGATATACGACAGCGTCCCCAACACGAGGTCATCATCAGGGCTAGTCTGTAGCTCGGTGAACACCCCGGCGAACACGTCCTCGCCGTCTCCCAGGGTATCAGGGAGCGCTAGTAGCCCGGCCGTCAGCTTGAACAAGTTCATGATATCCCAATGGCGAGGATGATACCCCCGCCGCCCCCCGTCATCCCAGCCACTACAGCCCGGTCCCAGGTAGAAGGAACAATGCCGATCGTAGGTGTTGAAGTGCCGATGCACCCATATGTTATCGGGAGACAGAGCCTTGGGAATATCACAGAGCCCCAGAGCCCCTCGCAGGCTCCGTGCACGGCTTCCAGCGCCTCCATCATTTCCACCAAAAATCTCAACACCAACGTCCTAGGCAAACGAGTCCCGGTTGCCTTGAAGCTCGTAATGAAAGCCGAAAGGGTTCCTATATTATAGTGCGGGAAGTACATCGATCCCTCGTCGTCCTTGCGCGTCAGCGGCCAGTTGAGATTGGGCACTCGGCCATCGAAACGAGCGAAGGCACCAGGATCCTGGCCAATGGTTCGCCGCCAGATCTCCTCCTGCCGCGCGGGTGTCAGGCTATTGTACACCGCCTGAGCAACTCTACGACCAGTGGTGTGCGCCGCGGCTGTGTCGGGACGGTCCGTCCTGATCGCGAACCTAGTTAGGACGTGGCCCAGAGGGTTGCCAACCTGGTAGTTGACGACACTCTGGACGAAATAAGGCCAGCACGGCTCCTCTTCTTGAACAAACAGCGTGTTCGCTTCGGCATGTTTGAAGAGGATTGCGAACCCAAATGTTGGCTCTAGGCCGAACATCTTGTCAGTGCCGTCGGGTTTGCAATCCAAGCAAGAGCTCTCAGAGATGGTTCCTGTGGAAGTGCGTGAAGCGTGTGGAGCGTTTGGAGGATGTAGAGTTCTGCCTTCGAACAGAGATGCTATCGCCGTTATATACAGGCCCAACCTGCTTCGGGCTTGATGCCAAACATATCACTTGTAATTTCTTTCACGCATCACCCCTTTGTCCAGGAATCCGCGTCATCTTCTGTCTGTCCCCTAAAGTCATTATTGGCTGGAAACAATGGCCGAACTCGGCCTGAAGTGGAGATACCAAAGATTGATGAAGGATGTGGTCAAGTTACATTGCACACCACGTGGCTTTGCTACCCCTACACTGACCAGCCTGAGCAACGTCCCCATTGCCGTCACCATTTCGCTGACGATTCCAGAAATACAATTTGGTACGCTCAGACAGTTGCATTTTTGCCCATGTCTCCCTTGCGGTCCCCCGTCGAGGAGCTGAATAGATGCGCGAAATGGCTGAGTGCAGACTTTCGCTTCGGCGGAATACCATCCTCGCCTTGCCTCTCTTCCTGCGCTGCCAACCATTTCTTATCGTCCGAGTCGGCATATTGGTGATAGTTTGAGCCTCCAAGCGACGACCCAGGGCCCCTGTCGTCCTTTCCGTATGGCGTGGGGGGTGTAAGAATACCCCCGCTGCTGGGTGTGTAAGCCGGAGGAGGTCCAAGCGAGTGGTGTTGTTCGCTGACGGTCCGGGAAGCTGGGGACACCGCCGGTGTCGCTGCCGTGGCGGCGGTAACAAGTCTGCTCACTAATCCGGTATACACCGGAGAAAACGCTTGCTGCTGCTGCTGCTGCTGCTGCTGCTGGGAGGGCTCTGCATCGAGGATGGCGTCGTGCCGTCGTTTACGGTGACAACGAGGGCCGAATGGCCGGCTGGCCATCTGTTGCCGACGACGACAAGACCTTGGGCACATTGCAGCGGCAGCGTGACGAAGGTTTGAGAGAATGCACAAATAATATCGTTCTAGGGAAGATCACAAAGAAGCCGGTTAGAAGTAGATGTGAGGAGGGCAGTCTGACGAGCATTGAGAAGCACGGGCTGGCAGGCCGTGGCAAGAATGGCGGCTTTTATGGCCGGTAGACCCCAGCACGCTTGATTATTGAGTTGTCTATTCTATTGGACGGATGCGCGCACCGCCCGTTTCGAGACGCGCGTGTCTATCCTCGCACTCGGAAGTTGTTGCTGGTGTGGCTAAGCACATGGGATAGTGCAGTGGACGTTGATTGGCAGCCCTGGCATTCGTTCGAGGCTTCGCACTCGCTTTCCACACTAGCTCCACGGTCGGCCGACTCGTAAGCCGATCTTGCTGAGGCCCGTCATGCACGAGACATGGAGACTACCTAATAAATTCGACGGAGCAACGCAACCTCGGGACATTCTAAACCCGCGACACGCGAGCGAGGTAACGTCGCGAATAGCCTTCCTTCCTCCCTATCCAATGTATTGGCTAGCCGGCGGCCCCAGATAGCTGGGTTTGACACCGCCGAGGTCAACGACAACCTTTTCCAGCACCAGATTCGAGTGCCTGAGCCAAATGCGAACCGTGTGTTCCCCAGGCTGCAGCTTGTCCAGCTGATGGCGCCGGAGCCACATGCAGTCCTGCACAGCCTCCCGCCACCCCTCGGGCAGATCGCCGCTGCTCGCCCTCGCCACCGCGTCCGCCCCCTGCGGCAGCAGCCTGTGCGCCTCCCCCACGGGGCCGTCATCAACCTGCACGGCGTACGACATGGGGTGCGCGGGGTCGAGCTCCAGCGTCATGTTGAAGTAAAGGAGCAGGGCGGGAAGAGAGGGGGAAGACCCCGAGAACACATAGACCTTGTACTCGAGAGCAGCGCTTGCGGTGTCGGAAGGAGTCGGCGGGATAGAACAGCCCCTGGTCGACAGCGCGACCGCACCTTCAACAGTCCGACCCATGTCGGGAAGCAGCTGATAGTCCGCCGGCAGAGGCTGACGCGCGGCTGTCGCGGGCATGGAAACGTGGCCGTCCGCCTCGACGAAGCCACCCTTGAAGGACGCGGGGAGTCGCCGGCCGCTGATGGGGAGGTGTATCTGCTCAAAGTCTCCCTCGCGCGAGCGCACGTCTATCAGGACCTCCTCGTCGAAGCCGTCAGGGACCCGGTCCCAGTCGATTGTGATTTGGACGCGGGCATCGTGCTCTGGAAGATGGGAGCGCGGGTCCAGCGAGCCTTCGACCTGGGAGAGGCGAACCCATGGATGGGTCCCACACGCGGCCGTCCAATGGACTGCCAGTGTTCCTCGCGTGAAGATGTCAAAATACCGGCTACTGGGGCCGTAGCGCGTCATAGGCCCCAGAGTGACACCCGGCACGAGATCCCTTCGGGAGGGGTGCGTCCGTTCGGACTCTTCGTTGATCCTCCCGGGTCTCACCCCTTCGTGCCCTTCCACCGCAACCCCCATCTGGCCCACGATCGGGTTTGAATTCTAGAAGAGTCAGCACCGAGTCACAAAACCAGGCAGAAAGCTTTCCGATAACGCGGCATACCTGTCTTGTCTGGACATAGCAAATCCCAGAGATCATATCCCGAGATGGCGCATGCCACGTGTCGCCGTATCCCATATGGGGCTGTGACATGATGTGCTTCCATTTACCGCCCAGAAGATCGTGGAACTGCGTTTTCATGTCAGTGACGGGGCTATCCTAGGTGTTTGAGAACATACGAAAGGAGCTCCCGGACGAGGATTGTTCCTCCGCCAAAGCTTACCTCCTCAGAAAGCGTGAAATCGGCATCAAACAGCTCGAGAACTTTCTTGGCCACTGCGTTGGCTGTATTGCGTCGCTGTCGCGCAAAACTCTGGTTGCGGGCGAGGGTTATCTGCAAGAGGGTGAAGATTTGCGAGGCCTTGATGGGGTGGAGGACTAGCTGGAACACGGCCGCCTTCTCGGCCTCGCCCTGCGCCCTACCGTGAAGCTCCTCCACCACCGCAAGCAGCTCACCCCACCGCTTAGAAACGGCTTCTGCCTCAGCATAGTGCAGCAGCGAGAAGGTGGTGGGCTCGATATGTTCGTGTCGGCGCAGGGACACGAGCCGGTCGTAGCCATGCCAGGCTGCCGCGATGTCTCGCGCTAGGGCTGTGCCACCGCCGAACCAGGACTCGGCGGTCGCTCTGTAGAATGACTTGATGCCGTCTGGTGCGATGGAGTTGATATCCCATGCAAGCTTCATGGCGAACGTCAGGGGAAGCTCCATCGGCTTGATGTCGCCAATATTGAACACTAGTAGTGGAAGATTGGTGCTGGCCGTTAGTGGAAAATCCGAGTTTAGCGCACCAGGCCAAGGCAAGAGTTATACCCCAGATCCGAGATGCGCATCTCGCATGCGCCTCCTTGAGCTGATGCCATATCTTTCCCTAGAAGTCGTTACCTTGGTCAGATGATAAAATCCCGAGATGCTGTCTAAACCATACCCTCTGGTCCAGCAGGCATAACGCAGAAAACCAGGACGCGATTTCACATACAAGACCGTTGGGATTGATCCACTTGTAGCTCCGGGGATGCCCAACGTATTCGAAGTGGTAATATATCTAAAGGCGCCCTGTTTGTCAGTATTTTATGCCACGCAAAGTGTAAATCACCATCATGCGAGGGGTGGCTACAGACCCCTGCGCCGCCTTTTCTCTTCATCTCCTCACCCGTCGGGAGACGCCGGATGGAGCCAAAGTTGTCGTCAGAGAAGAGCAGCGTCACATCTTCAGGAACGCCAAGTCTGCCACTATCGAACTGGGTTTGCACTTCTTTGTACAAAGCGAGGAGCTCTGGGTTGGTTCAACTCCATCAGTTAGCGAAAAGAGGTTTCTGGTTTGGTGTAGGGTCCTCCCGACGAGATGAGACGCTAAGCACATACGCGGTACAGCGTCTTCTCGCCCATGGACCTCCTTGAATATGCGCCTCTGGGTGCGGAGAACGTCCGCGACTACCGCCGCTGGGTCGGGCGCCTTCATTCCCCTGTCGTATTCGCCTCGCATGCCCAACGTCACATAACTTTCGAGAGACTTTGCGCGTCGGATGCCCTCTTCAAAGAACCGAGTTATCTTCTCGGAGTTGGTAAGCCAGTCCCAGCTGCCGTCAGGGTTCTCGGCGAACTAGTCCCTCATGTCAGCGACACCTGCTTTATAGCATCAAGCGCCATTGAAGCAAGGGTTCGTCACAGCCAGACGAGATACAGACCCCAAGGCATGACATACCCACTCGCTCGTCGCACGTTGCATTGGCTCATGATGCGAGGTAGAGATAACAATACCCATCTCATCAGCGAGCCTCGCATTTTCGGGGTCGTCGGTGAAAAAGATAGCCCCTGGGTTGGGATAGCCAGGCCACATTGCTGGCCACAAGAAGCTATTGTCCGGTTAGTCAGCTAGTCCTGTGCTATAGGACGAATGCCGCTGGTCATTTTGGCTCTTACTTGGCCTAGCGTGGCGAGGATTATGGAGTCAGCAAGGAGCTCTATCGATGTTGCGATCAGATATCAAGAATGCAATTCACCTTCAGTCGCAGGAGCAGCTCATAAACCGTCCTGTAGAACTTGGAGTTGTAGCCGCCATACTTTTGCAGTACCCAACCCGTGAGCTAAGTAAATCTAGCGTCAGCTACTGCCTCGTTAAACTATACCCCCGTGTCACATGTTACAGCAACGTCACCTACACAGGGACTCTCGTCGTTGAGAAAGGCTCCGCGATATGCGACAGAGGGCTCCCCTTGCGATGTGACTACTGGCAGCGCAAATATCTTGGAGCGCCTGAGAGGAGGAATATCTGCCCAGAAATACCATCTTCGCCATTGTCAGCAGAAGGTAGTGTATAGCAAACAGTCTAAAAGATGTTTCCCTAGCCACATACGGCGAGACCCCGATTTGCTCGGAGAGGGTGTAACATCCGTATATGGCACCCCTTTTGTCGCTGCCAGCAATGACGAGGGCCTTGGCGCAGCCAGGGAACGGATCGGCGAGGACAGCGGTCTGGAAGGCCTCCCACTTTCCGAGCAGACGATCGAATCCCAGCCTCTCGCTTAGGGACCGAATCAAAGGGCTCTGCAGGCTCCCAACAATAACGGCATGTTCTGCAGAGGCTCCTTCTGCTGGGGTAGAGGATGGAGGTGGCGAAGGGGACAGTGAGTGCTGGAACACATGCAGAGGGCGCGGGGGTGCGCCGGTGACTCGCGAGAAGTCCTGGCAAAGATTTGAAGCGGCGAGGAGGACACCGGGGAAGTCGGTGCCATCTGTGAAGATGATGACGTTGGTCAGGTCCAGCAGACCCAGGTCAGCGGACGCGTCAAACCCGACGAACTGGTGTTGGGCCATGATGCCGGCTAGTCGATAGTTTCTTCTTCAGCAAGCTCGATTTACTAGAGTCCGACAGACCCAGAGCAAGATACGCACACTCTCCATCTTTTCCAGCCGGAAATAGTCCGGTTGAGGCCAAACATTCAGGCCAAAATCTCCGAGATTGTGTGTGTGGTCTCGGTCGGAGATTCCTCCCCAATCTGAATTGGTTTCCACCTTTTCCCCTCTCACATGGAGCTCGGTCTTCTAACCGATCACCGATTAGGAGCCACGCGGAGAAATCGCCAGGGATTATGGATCAGTCGGGACTACCCCGGAGGAGAAATTGGGGTGTGGGGAAAAACAAAGGAAGCCGTGATGAGGATCCCAAGGCTGTGCCGCCGAGCTAGAACCGGCTGGGCGCAAGCTTGGGTGTGCCATGGCGAAAGCTTGGAATGCTTGTTCCCATCACCAGTGTAGATACCATTTCAAAGCTGGTTCTCATTGTCCATATTTAAAGGGAAATAACTATCTAGGCAGGTACCTAGGTATTCTGGTGGTGTGCCATTCTCCCACACGCACGGATATCCATTGTATGACATCAACGCAGCCAAAACATCGGATTTAGTACACATAGCGGAAATTGACGTTTTCCTATAGAGGTGACAAGAGGTTAGCATCAAAAAGTGAGTGTGGGTTTTAGAAGTCGTGTGGTTGGGGCTTCTCACCCTATCCGTAATGTCCTCGAACTGTGCGACTGACGCAACAGCTTCTCCGCTGGCAATCTGGCGATCGCGGCTCTTGTTTTGCAAAATGTACCTGAAAATGACCGAATTAGCAGAGCCCAAGAGAGCGGAAGAGAAAACCAGTAGTGTCTCCACGCCTTGTTATACTAACCAGGTGCGCAGCGCAAAGAGAGTGATCACCAGCAGGACGAAGCAGGCCACAATGATAGAGAGGGCAAGGAAGTAGCGCGGCGCGTCCTGGGACCGGAAGACCTGGGGGCCGATGCTGTTGCCAACCGCCCACCAGATGAAGTTGGAAGCAATCACGACGCTCTTCTTGGTCTGGCCCGCGACATTGCGCGTAACCAGAGACAGGGCGAGGCCACTGCAAGCCCAGAAGGAGATCATGATGTAGTAACTGTAGGGTCGGTCGTGTCATGGGTCAGCACTAATATAGTCGGAAGGTTTGACCAGAAGTCGAGGATGGGGAGCAGCAGACGCACCTCAGGAGCAGACCAACTCTCTTGCTGGGTTCAAAAGGCACCGCCATGAGCACAACCACGCCGGCGATGGTGGGAGCGATGGATGCCATCATGACCAGAATCGTCTGCTTGAACCGCCGATCGAGGTAGACAGCCGAGAGCATGACGGTGATCTGCACGATGCCCGAGACAGACTGGAGGAGCTGCGTCTCCCAGACCTTGAAGCCGAACGACTTGATGATGATGTTGGAGAAGGCGCCGAGGCCGCCGGACGGGAGGGTCGTGAAGATTTGGATCAGAGCGAAGCCCCAGACCTGCGGGTCCTTGAGCGCCTCGAACAGCTGCTCCCGCCGGAAGACGCGGTTCTGGAGGCCAGTGCGGTTGTCGCGGACTCGCTCGACCATCAACTTCTTGTCCTCCTCGCTGAAGCACTTGGCCTTCATGGGCGAGTCGGGCATCCACCAGACGACAAAGGCACCCCAAAAGACGGTCAAAACACCGTAGGTCATGAACAGGCCTTGCCAGCTAGAAATGGGGCTTCCGGCCGGGATGAAGGAGAAGGCCATGGCAAGCAGGCCACCAATAAGCTGTTGAAGGCCATTCTGTAGAAGAAGCCGCGCGGTCAGTCTTTAAGCTCTCTGGGACCCATGCAGAATGGGCTCGATTATAGGAACCGGTGTACGCACCATCATGTACCACAGAATCACCGTCGTGGCCTGCTCCTCGCGCTTGTACCAGATGGAAGACAGCAGGACGAAGCAGGGCTGGCAGACGGCCTCAAAGGCGCCCAGGAATCCACGGAGGATGATCAGGGTGGTGAAGTTGCGGGACATTGCGTGGAGAGCCAGGGTGACACCCCATAAAAGAATGTTTAAGCCCAACCATTTCGCGATAGGGACCCTGGTGAGGATGTAGTTCTCCGGGTACTCCACGCAGAGGATAACGACGTAGATGATGGTGGTCAGCCACGAGTACTCCTGGCCTTGAAGCTTGGTGTCCTCGATGATGCCCATTATGCTCGCGTACTGATGCTTTGTGGTCAGCTTTCCTGTGGCAGAGCCTCACACTTCCCCAGTCGAGAGGGAGTGCGACTTACAGACATGGTGCCCTTGTCCAGAGCCTGGATCAGGTAGGTGACGACCATGACTGAAAGCACCCGCATGTCGATCATGCGCTTGAGGCGCTTGTTGGTCGGCTCGTCGATGTCGATGGGTGCATCGCTGGCGTATTTGGCGACTTCGGAGTCGACAAGGTCGCCTTGGGCGCGTGGCTTGGAGGTCTCGACATCCTCAAACGTCTCGGGCACCGCCTCGACCATCTCCTTCTTTTCCATGGTACTTCTGGTCCCCTAGCGAGCGCTAGGAAAGGTATCACTCGATGGGTTCCAGACGACGAAAGACTCATGGCGCGGAGGAAGACGCCCATCGAGTGCCCAGGAACGCGTCCAGGCCCGCTATATAGGGAAATCCCAGCAAGGGCTGCGTCCGTCATAGTTGCTGTGTTAAGGTCGCATCCCGGAGATTGGCTCACTGGAGCGATCGTTTGCCTGGGACCAACGGCCCTCGGCTAGACGACCGAGGTCAGGGACACGAAGCGGGTACCATCTGGAGAAGACTCCCTTACGGGCCCTGTGCGATGGCAAAAGGTCCGAAAACACGGTCGAGCTGATGGAGCCCGCCAGGCGCTTTCAAGAAAAGTCCACAGCCAACATTCAAATCAATGCAGGCACCTCACGTTGCTTGACTCGGGGAAGTTGGGGTCCCCGTCTTCCGGGCTGGGGTAGACGACTCCACTCGCGCACTCGTGACGAACTGGCTGAGGCCCACCCTTCGACAGTGCCCTCTAGCCCCCCGAATCCGGGGTATCCATGGAGAGGGGGGCAGAAGTTCGTCTCAGGGGTTGGGCTCCGACTTGCTCCACGACCACGAGCCGTGTCCTTCCTCCGATTTCCTCTGCCCCGCACCCAGACACTATTCCTAGCCTCAAGGGAGCCGGATGAGCTTTCGGGAATACGCAAGGCTACTACTTGAGTGCCTAGTTCTCAGGGGGCAATAGTGACCTGACGTGTCGTTGCCGGAACACAATGTGTGGTGGAAACACTTCCCATGATGGGGACTGCGGAGAAGGAAGCCCATATCCCCTGCGGGCTTTGGGGCCGGTGGGAAAGAGGGTGAATCGACTATACGAGATGCGGTTGCCGAACTTCTTGTCAGAGGGCGGAGCGTGGCAAAAATTCAACATCACGTCGTGAGTTCCGCCCACAGCAGCGCCGCAGATACAAGCACGGCGCGATGAGCTAACCATACCCGGAAACGAAGCATGCTGCACGATCACGTCTTTGCGGGGCCGCCTCACCTCCGCATCTCCGTCTGGAGCTGCCTTGGCCTCACGCGCCCGACCTTCGCCGAGGCGACGGGCCCGGCCAACCGGTACCGCGAGGCCCGGGTGGGCGACTCCTTCGGGCCGTCGTGGTCCACGCACTGGTTCCGCCTCGAGATGGCGCTGCCGGCCGAGCTGCGGGCCGCCGAGCACGTCGAGCTGCGCTGGGACGCCGGGAACGAGGGTACCGTGTGGTCGGCCTCGGGCGACATCCTGCACGGCCTGACGGGCCGCGGGGACCGGGCCGAGTGGGTGGTGCCCTTCCGGGACGGCGAGGCGCACGTCGTCTACGTCGAGATGGCCTGCAACGCCATGTTTGGCAACGCGCCGGGCGACAACCCCGTCTTCAAGGCCAACGGAGATGGCGGCGGCGATTCGATCCTGCCCCCGGACCCGAACAAGCGCTTCGTGCTGGCCAAGGCGGAGTTGGTTTCTGTGTTCCTGCCCGCGCGCCGGCTGTACTCGGATATGCACGTCATCACCCAGGCCGTGGCCGAGCTGGATCCGGAATCCTGGGAGCAACGAGAGGCGCTCAACGTGGCGAGTCGTATCATGGACGCGTTCAGCGCGGGCGACAAGGCGTCTGTGGTTGAGTGCAGAAGGCTGGCGACGTCTTATCTGGGCGACAAGGTGGATTCGGAGCAGGTTTATAACCCCTCGGGTGGGAGAGAAGCGAACGTCATTGCTATAGGACATTGTCATATTGACACATGTTGGCTGTGGCCTTGGGCCGAAACCCGGCGGAAAGTCGCGAGGTATGTCATCACGTGTGACTCTACCAGGAGAGACCGTACCAACCAAGTTCCAAACCTACCTAGGTCATGGAGTAACCAGTGCGATCTCATGGATCGCTACCCAGAGCTCCATTTTGCCTGTTCGCAAGCCCAGCAATTCCAATGGCTAAAGCAAGACTATCCAGCAACCTTTGAAAGGGTCAAGGTCAAGGTGAAAGAGGGGCGTTTCCACCCCATCGGTGGGAGCTGGGTTGAGCACGATACCAACATGCCCAGTGGAGAGTCGCTTATCAGGCAGTTCCTTTACGGTCAACGCTTTTTCGAAAGCGAGTTTGGCTGCCGCTCAAGAACAAGCTGGCTCCCGGACACATTCGGCCAGCCTAGTCAGATCCCGCAGTTGTGTCGCCAGGCCGGCATGGACAGATTTTTTGCCCAGAAGATATGTTTCAACAGTATTAACGAGTTCCCTCACACATCCTTCAACTGGTCGGTTATTCTATCGCCTTCGAAGGTTATCGACCAGTCTTGCTGACAGAAGGGGTAAAACAACAGGGCTGGGCTTGACGGAAGTCAGGTTCTCACACACATGTCGCCTGCCAATACTTATTGCGTGCGTACTTACCGCTTCTCATGACATCTTCAGGAGAAATGTCGTGGAGGGAACCCACAAATACTGATTATACCATAGGCCCACGCCAACCTGGCCGAGGTCAAGCGCAGTGTCTCCAAGCACAAAACGCTCGACCATGACGACACTTCCCTACTCGTTTTCGGCAAAGGCGACGGCGGTGGAGGGCCAACCTGGAAACAGCTTGAACGACTGCGCCGGCTGCGAGGCCTAGCTGACAGAACCGGACAGATACCACACGTTCATCTGGGCAAAACTGTCGATGACTTCTTTGACCGCCTACAAGCCAAAGCTGGCAATCTACCGACGTGGACCGGGGAACTTTACTTTGAGCTACACCGCGGAGTGTACACTACCCAAGCGAGAACAAAACTGGGAAACAGACGGTCCGAATTCCTTTTGCGGGATATTGAACTCCTCACGACCATCGCCTCCATCGAGGACTCTACGTATAAGTACCCGACGGCGGAGCTAGACGAGATGTGGCAAGGGGTGCTGCTATGCCAGTTTCATGACTGCCTTCCTGGGACCTCAATACAGATGTGCTATGATGACTCTGACAAGGTAAGACCATATCAACAGCAATTACCCATCAGAAGAGCCACGATCCGATTACTGACCAGACCCCATCAGGTGTATGCAAAAGTCCAACAAACCGGGTCGCGACTGCTCCAGGACGCGTGTTCCGCTCTCGGACTTGCCATCCCTGGAGAGAAAGAAAGTAGCGCACCCGCAATGGCAGTGAGCACGGCGCCTTGGCCGCGAGCCGAGCTCGTCAGGACCGCCGACGGGACAGAGGCCGTAGCTCGGGGTAGGGGCAATCTCTTGCCCGTTCAGGAGTTCGCCGTGGCCGAGGGGCAAAAAGGGGCATCCTTGAGGGAGGTCTCGCCAGGGGTCTTTGAGCTCGAGAACGAGGACCTGCGCGCGACCGTGGCGAAGGACGCAATCACGTCGGTCTACGACAAACGCGCAAGGCGAGAAGCTCTCTCCGGCCCCGCCCGCCTGGTGATATTTGACGACGCGCCGATTTACTGGCAGGCGTGGGACACCGAGGTGTTCCACCTGGACACGCGACGTGAGCTCCAGGGCAGCGTTGCCGCGACCGCCTCCATTCTGGAGAACGGCCCGCACCGCGCCAGCGTCGTTGTCGAGATGCGCATCAGCGAGCTGAGCTCGGCGCGTGTGGTGATATCGCTTTCGGCCAGCCTCGGCGGTGAGGGGAATCACCCCTACGTGGAATGCCAGGCAGAAGTCAACTGGCACGAAACGCACAAGTTTCTCAAGGCCGAGATACCAGTCGCCGTTCGCAGCATCGAGGCGTCGTACGAAACGCAGTTTGGAGTGGTTACCAGACCAACGCACTACAACACCTCGTTCGTTCTCCTGTCCTCCTCCTCATGACTTGATCCCGCACTTACTCCAGATCCGGCACCTAACCATTGTAAACAGGTGGGACGTGGCCAAGTTCGAGGTCTGCTCGCACAAGTTTGCCGACCTCTCGGAGCATGGGTACGGCGTGTCCATCCTGAACGATTGCAAGTACGGGTTCTCGACCGCGGGCAGCGTCATGCGCCTCAGCCTCCTCCGCAGCCCCAAGGCCCCAGACGAGACAGCAGACATGGGCAGGCACGCGATACGCTGGGCCATAATGCCTCACCGTGGTCGTCTCGGGTCCGAGACAGTACGCGCGGCTTTCAACTTCAACAACCCGCTCAAGCTGGTAACGCTGCGAAATGCACCCAACGATGCGCCCTCGAGCCCCGCAACGACCGAGGGGCCAAATGCTGGCGCTGCCGCCGTCTTGGGAAAGTCTCCCATCGCGCTCACCGGCGACGACAACCTCGTCCTGGATACTATCAAGCGTGGCGAGGACGATGCGGATGTTAGCCGTGGGGACCTACCGGCGCGGCGGCCAGCGGGCACCAAGTCCGTTATCATCAGGGTGTACGACAGCCTCGGCGGCTACGGCGTCGGGAAAGTGGAAACGAGGTGGAAGCTGTCCGGCGTTTTCAAGACGAATATACTCGAGGACGACGGAGAGGAGGTGGCTATAACTGCGGATGGCCACGCATTTGAGTTGCAAATATTGCCTTTCCAAGTGCAGACGTATCGGTTGGTGCTGGCTTGAGATGCGACTTCACCTGAGGCATAGAAATGGACCACGCATTGGCGAACAATATGAAAACAGATAATTCAGTACCACCTAGATGCTTCCCTGAAATAGACTAACGCAGGCAAACACTCCTAGAATACTGAAACATTGTGGATTTGTGGTGTTCTCCAAGACGGTTGATCAAATTTGCAAAGTTCGAGGCGTAGTTGGAAGTAGATCTGGAAAAGTTCGAGTGCAGTCCACTGTGAGCTACGCAAGAATTGATCATGATTGCGGTGGGCGGAAGCTAGACATCAAAGAAATTTGGTGGTCAGTGCGGTGAATGCTTGATTGAGCCAGGATAGCCACGATGATGTGTCGCGCGCCAGCCCGCATCCTCCGAACCGTCAGGGGTAAACATTCGAGAACCCTCACGGTCAGATCCAGGCCGGTGATAGAAACCATGGCGCCTAAGCGCAAGTCGAGCGCCATCACAGACGGCGCGGCAGACGCCGACGCAGCCGCGCCTCGCCGATCCTCGAGGCGTCTGAAAGGCGCGGACCCGCTGCCGGCCGACGAGAAGAAGCCCAGCAAGAAAACCGGCTCAGCCGCTGTAAGAAGTGGACGTCCTGAGGAATGGGAGAAGAAAAAATTACGTGCACTGACATCGCCGCAGAAGAAAAGCAGCACGGCCAGTAGAACGCAGGCGAAGCCGTCCTCGGCCGCCGAGAAAAAAGACGCGTCGTCAAATGGCGGCACTGAAACCCAGGGAACGGCAGACCGAGAGGAGAGGCGGTACTGGTTGATGAAGGCCGAGCCCGAGACGCGGCTCGAGAATGGCCACGATGTTAGCTTTTCCATCGACGACCTCGCATCGAAGACAGTACCAGAGCCATGGGATGGTATCCGGAACTATGTTGGTACGTCTCGAATGCTTTCTTGGCCGCCCAGGGCACAGACCAGTCTGACCAATGAACGAGGCACATCACAGCTCGCAACAATCTAAGGGCCATGAAAAAAGGCGACCTGGCTTTCTTCTATCACTCCAACTGCAAGGAGCCCGGCATTGTGGGCACCATGGAGGTGGCTCAAGAGCATTCACCCGATCGTGAGTTTTCTACTGCTCACTACTACCTCGGTATATATCGCCCAGTCGGCACCTAACCAGCAGCCATTCACCGCTTATCCAGTGACGGCGCACGATCCCAAAGCTCCGTACTACGACAAGTCTTCGAAGCCTTCGGACCCCAAATGGAGCGTCGTGCACGTCGTATTCCGGAGCAAGTTCGCGAGCAGTATCACACTCAAGGAGCTGCGCGAGATGGGTGGGCCGGGCAAGCCGCTGCAGAATATGCAAATGCTTAAACAGACCCGCCTAAGCGTCAGCAACGTTTCCCAGGAGGAATGGGATCACCTGATGTCAGTGGCGGTCGAGAAGGATTCCGTAGTCGGCGAAGAGTAGAATATGTGCGCGTAATTTGTAGCGAGGGCCCATTGTGTTTAGATTAGAACAACAGTCAAGCAAAACAAAAACAAAAACAAAAACAAATGGCTAGCGAGCTTATGGAAGCTCAAAATAGCAACGCATCTCAACGTGGGAAAGGTATCGATCAAGGAAAACACCAGAAGAATTCAGGCACGCACAAACCACAGCTCTCTTGGTGCAAATGCGCAAAAAGGACGAATTGGGGATCGAACCCAAGACCTACGGATCTGCAATCCGTTGCTCTACCGCTGAGCTACTCGTCCAACCACGGACCTGCCGCCTATTTGGATCGCTTATAGACCCAGAGGGGAGTCTGTTGCTTGGTATGGAGACTCGTCACGGTGGTGATCCACTCTAGGGCATGTAGGACATGGAGTGGAAGTTGTCTATTCCCACTATGATGCTTTCTAACAGGCAGAGGGCAGACGACAGAATCATGATAACACTAGCAGGCAAAAGAAAATACGGGTTCGACTTCGCTTTGGTTTTGGGGACTTGAGACGTTTGGCATGGTGTTACGGTGATACCTAGAAGTGGGTGCAGATCAATCCTCGCCCTGGACATCCGCAACTGGCACATGCCACAAGGATAATTGACGACCATCCCACTTCTCAGCTCGCATGTTCGTGGACATGCTCATCAACATCACAATTCTCGTCCATCATGGTGTCCAGCAATCTTTAACTTTATCACACAAAGGCCCAAAATACGGCGGCGCTATGGAAACAACCAAATAAGCCCACGCGAGTCGAAACCGGGCCGGGAGCAGGGCCATGAGCTTTTTCCCAATTTGCCGCCCTAGGCTTATCGGGCACGGCATTGGATCCCACTTCTAGGGGAATGCAGCAAGCAAGCAACCACGCCGCATGCAACCGATCCAATCGTGCTCGAAAGGCTACCTGGAAGGAGCAAGGGTTGCGGCTGTTTGTCACAGGTACGGCCACCGAGGAGTGTTTGAGCCGGCCCGCGCGTTTGCGAGCCACGGAGAACTGGTTTGTCTGCGGGGGGACCTGATAAATTGGGAGAGTGGGTGCGCCCTGCAAGCTGGCGTAAACGGATGGGACGGAGGACAAAGAGAATCGAGCGGACGGCAGGGATGGCGATGGAGCCTATCAAGTGTCCATGGGAGATGTAGCCCTCACGATAAAAAAGGCAAGAAAAAAAGGCAAGAAATGAAAGCAGTCGAGTAGAGACACATTTCGTAGGCTCTGGCCCACACTGCTATCCCCCTCCTGAGTCGCGGGATCTCGAGCGAAAGGGGAGGCAAAGTTAGCATGCATGTGTGAGGGCAGGGGAACACATGGGGTTCATGTGTGGTGTGTGGTGTGTGGTGTGTGCTTTGTGCGCGTGGGGAAGGCCAAGTGTTGGGTCGATGATGGATGGATGGGTGATGGGTGGCTGCTGGTCGAAACGAAGCACAAAGCGCCAGCAGGGTGGACTTGTGCTTCACTCGAACCATGAGCAAACGATAATGGTCACACACACACCAGCAGGTTGGAAGCAAGAAAGGGAGGGGACAAAAAAAGAGAAAGAAAAAAAGAGAGAGAAAAAGAAAAGAAGATTAGCGGGCCGTCTGTCACCCCAATCTGCACCTTGACAGAAGAGGGCGTGGACTTTGTGACCTGCCGCGGGACAGGCTGCGGCTGGATGGGGATCAGTCACGAGAGGGAAGGGGGCGCGGGCGCCCTGACAGGGACTGGGTGGATGACGAGGAGTCGAGGAAAGATGGGCCATGGAACGCGGACACGCCGTCGGAGCGCCCCCCGAACATGGTGTAAATCAAAAAGAAAATGCATGGCCAAATTGCCAACCTGTCGTGTTGCCGTTTGGGGACGGGGAAGAGAAGAGAAAGGGAGGATTTACAGGCGTGGTGTTGGAGGCAGGCAGACGGACCAAGACGATGGACGAAGGAATGTGGTGCTGGGGGAGGGAGGGAGCGAGGGGCAGCAAGAAGAATGCCCAGGGCAAAGGCGGCTTGGGAAGAAAGATCAATTGGAAAGCTTTTTACAGTCGGGGTCGGCTGGCCTAAGCTTACCCGTTTTCCTGGTAGTTTGTGTATGGAAAAAGCGAACGTAGTTCGACAGTCTGCTCTGATGGCTCGTGGCATCCCATGTCTTGCCTTCCCTTGTCTCATGCGGAGATTTTTTAGTGACTCTGGACCTGACCAGCCCGGAACAGCCGAGCAGGTACCCAAGGCCGGTATTGATTTCACTTCACAAAAAGCCCAACTACCCCCCGTCACTCGCCCTTTCTCGCACAGGACCGCACGCTTTTTTTTCTTCCCTCTTCTCCTCCCATCCATCCTTTTTCTGTTCCCATTCCTTCCTCCCCCTTTGCTGTTGTGCTTCTCGTCGCCATCTCTCGTTCTTCTGCTCTTGTGCTGGTTGCCCAGTCGCGCTCTATTTCTCCCACTTGAGGAATCGCTTACATACGCAGAGCCCTGACTGCCATCGTTCTAGCGCCGCAGATGGACCCTACAGCAACAGCGACCATATGAGCAGCGCATCGATATCCGGGTGCTCCAGAATTCCGCAACCCGATCGGAGGCACATGAATCACGAGCGGGAAAAAGCAGCAGTAAAACGCAACGAAGAAAAAAAAAAAGAAAAAAAGGGCGAACATGCGACCAAACGGGGGGTGGCCAGAATTCGGCCGCTCAGTTAGGGCCCCGCCCTTCCAGGCCTGGGGTTGAATGACGATGGCTCCAAGCGGGCCAGGCAATTGGGCGTGCCAACCCAGGTTTTGGGGGGTTGGTGACCTGCATGGGGCCGTCCTATCCAAGCACCACACGACGCCTCATACAAAGCAGCGGCAGCCTGGGTCTAGTTTGCCAACACACCGGTCGCATTTGGGGCTAGGCTGGGATGCCTGGGTCCAAATCTTGCGGCACTTGGGCGAGACGCAAGAGAGAGCCATCGGCGACCAATTTTTCTTTCTCCCTCTCTTCCGCCGGTTCCCCTTTTCCCGCTGGTCAGCTGCTGGGGGGTTTCGAGGATGGGTAGCGGGATGTCATATCGCGCAAACGCCGGCACGAATGGAAACACTCTGGAACCAGAACCAATCCACTTTCGTCCTCCCCGAGACTGGCCCCTGGTCGCTGGGCCCGTTTTATTGGCGGGCCCGATGCTTTCGAGCCACAACAGTCGAGAAGGCGCGCAGCACCAACGCCGGGACCTGCACGAAGCCCTCCAGGCGGGCTGCATGCAGTGGCGACGTGCATCGGTCAGCCAGGCATCGATGGCGCAGGACTGTCGGCCTGCAGCTGTCCAGGGCGCCAGGATCCTTTCATCACTGCTCTCGGCGAGAAAGTTGTCCCTGGCCTTTGCCAAAGCTCCTTCGTTGGCAAAGCTACTTGACGATATGCATCGTTGTTGGGCTTGTCCTAGGAAAGCCACTTATGTCAAAGAGCCACGAGGCTGACTTTCTTGAGGCACCAAGCCAACCTGGCGGCAAGAAGGGAAGGTGCTTGGACAGGATGACCACGGGCGGTTGACGCAGGTCTCCCTCCAGTCTTTCTTCCCTCAATCTCGGCTCTTGGTGTTGGCAAGAAAAAAGTTGGGCGTTACGCTACCGATGCTCGCACTGCCAGACTCGACGACGACACTGCCAGCGGGACTTTGGACTTGACCCCAGGATTGCCAATTGCGCCGCCGCTTCGTTGGCTGGTTCGCCTGCATCGATCCGTGTCCGCCTGAGGGATACATTTCCTGGGCCCCTCGCGCCGATGTCAAGAGTTGGACCGACAGGCTTGCCTTCTGGAGTAGCCTGGGCGAACCAATGCAATTATTCGCCGAGCACGTCGCCCGCCTCGGTCCCACTCGCCTGGCTGTTCGTTAGGGCAACACCAGGAGCCGGCATGGAGCTTGACTACATCCGATTAGCATCGCGAGGATCCGGGAAACAATATCGCCGTGTTTTGCTGCGGGTGTTGGGCGGACATCTATTCACTCGCATTCAAAGTCAGCTCGGCGACCGAGACTTTGCAAAGCAAAGTGATGGTCGGATATGACGGTTGCGAGCGCTGACACTCCTATTCGGTGGTATCCACCCCCAGGAATCCTCGAAAGGAATCGAGATTGCGGTGCCATGGAGTCATCGGCCGCCACGTCGTCCCCATTGCCCTCGCCCTCGCCCTCGCCCTCCCATTCCCCATGTCCACGCCATTGCCCGTCCCAAATGCAGGGGCAACCTGGAGAACAAGGATAATCATTGTTCTTCAGCTGCATGTTGGAAAAGAAGAAGAATCAAACGAGGAAACCAAGGAATGTTTGCTTCCGCATTAAACCTCTGTTTGGCTGGTCGAACAGCCTAGTTAGTTGTACGGCATGTCCGTCCTTCTGTCAAGAGACAGCCCAGCCGTCAAGTGGCCGCTGCTTTGGTTGCAGCTATCGCCAGAATTGGCCGATAGCGGGTTTCGCAGCACGTCGCGTCAAGCCGCGCTCTCCACGACAGCCTGGTGGAGGCTGGCAGGATGCCGTCTAGGTCAACAAACGGGTCTGGACTGGCAACGAACATAACACGACTGGTGCAGCAGCAGCGATTTGGCTAACGCAAGTGTGGAGCCGAGACATGGTCGCTAGCAATTTTGTCATTGGCCGCTCGTGCTACCAACTCGTTTCGCTTAACTTCAGCTAGTCCCAAGTGAGACTAGCGCTCATGGCCATGAGAGGTACAGGTCAGGCGGGAACAGCAGCGACCAGCAAGAGCGCAACTCTCTCGGTTCACGGGTTTACACAGTTCAGTCCATCCACAACGCGCCTTAGGTAAGACCTGCCGCCCTCTCGTTCCGTCGTCCCCTGTTCTTTTGATGCGATGCCGTTGATCCTCTGCCCCGTGACTTTCGTTCTCGACGCTTTCGTCTGATGGGACGACTGCTGCATGGTGGTGGTGGTTGATGGTTGATTGCCTGCCTTGGCTGTTCTTGCTGCTGCTTTGGCCCGACGGGTCGTGGTCGCTCTGACCGACCACGCGCCGAAATTTTCTGCCCTGCTCCCTCGCCCTACACTGCACCCGCTGGCTCTGAGCCTGAGCGAGACTGGCTGGGCCTGAGTCTGAGCCTGCGTCTGCCAAAGCTCTACCTGCTTCTGTCCTCAGTCCGCCTGCCACCACCCCAGCCCACACTCACGCTCGCGCACGCGCACAACCCACTTCGCACCCCCTGCTGCTTGTTAGGAGTTGCTGCGACCGTGCTGCTGACGGGTCCTTTTCCCTCCCCCCGGCCAGCGCCCCAACCACCGATCGCAGTAGAGAGAACCAGAAAAAAAAGCCCCCATAGCACCGCAACAAACCACACACATTCGCGACGCGCGCGACGACTCCATCGCGACAAGCGTCTGCCGTGCCACTACCCATCCTTTTTCGACACTATACCACCCATACCCATCGTCGGCATTCATTTTCCAATGGTCGCTGCTAACCCCGGGGCCCCGTAGTCGCCAGATGGGTTCGGCCATCCTCTCTTCCCTCCTCACCACCTTTTAGCCTTCGCGTCCGCCAGCCATGAGCTCCTGGATGAACGACGCCTCCGCCGCCTCCGCCGTCCCCAACCACAATGGCAATGGCTTTGGCGCACACCTCAACGACCCTTCGCAAACCACCGGCGTCATGATCGACCCTTCAGCTTACATGGCCAACGCGGCCCAATTCAATCCCGCCGCCGCCCAGTTCGCGAATCCTCAACAGATGCTCGCCCTGCAAAATGGCGCGATGCGCAATTCATCACCATCGTTCCCGAACCCTGTCTATCAAACCAACTCGGTCATACCCTCGAAGCGACCTCGCCCGAGGGACGAGAGCATCGCAGGATCGCCCAGGCCGGCCCCAGGCATGGCCCAGACCTCGCGGTCCGAGACGCCACAGCAGGCGCACTATTCAAACTACCCACAGCAGCAGCAGACTCCGGGTCCCGGGCAGCCGTCGCCATACCCACACCTCCAGCAGAATGGTTCTGCAAACGCGACGCCATCTCCCATAATGAGCAACCAAATGCGACCTGGCAGCGTGCCTCAGCGAGTCTCGACCACCTCACCGCATCCTTACTCGCCCGCCGCACAAAACTTCGGTTCCCAAGCGTCCCCAGCACCGTCGGAGCATGGGGGCACACCTCAGCCGAACAACTTCATGCCTCCTGGTGCCTTCCCCCAGGGATTTAACCAGCACTATGCAGCGAGTCCGACACCCGTGCGACCTTCGCCGAGTCACATGGGTGGGCAGATGCCCGGACAGCTCCCGGGGCAGATGGCGCCTCAGCAGATGGGACAGATGGGACAGCAGATGGGTCAGATGCCACCACATATGGCGCAGCAGATGGCCCAAATGGGGCAAATGCCGCCGCAGATGGGTCAGATGTTCCCCGGACAAATGCAGCAGATGAATCCGGGCCAGATGTCGCACATGCAGCATATGCAACAGCAGCAGATGTCGCAGGCGAGGAACGTGATGGATCCTCAAAGGCTCATGTACCACCAGATGCAGTTGCAACGACAGCTACAGCAGCAGCAACACCAGCAACAGCAACATCAACAGCCGCAACCGCAACTCCAGCAGCCCCCACAACAGCCAAAGGCCCAGCAGCAACAACAGCCTAACTCGCAGCCACAGCAGTCGCCGACTCGGCCGTCGCCGGTGCCCCCATCGCCTGTCCAGCAATCACCGATACAGCCATCGCCCATGCCGCCCCAGACCCCCCAAGGGCAGCCCCAAGCAATGCAGGCTCCTCCTCAGATGCCCGTCCAAGCCATGCACCAGAACCGCGCGATGATGGGTAGGCCCCAGATGCCCAATGGCCAGATGGCACCTAGCCCTATGCGACCACAGCCCGGGCAGGTGATGACCCCGCAGCAGCAGCAGGCGATGCAGCGCGGCGGGCAGCCGACACCGGAGCAGTTTATGGAAAGGTTGAGCCAGTTCATGAGCTCGAAAGGGTTCCCGCTCGATCCTAATCCGATAGTTGGCGATCGGCCTGTCAGTCTTTGGAACTTGCGCCAGGCTGTTGCAAAACACGGGGGGTTCCGCGCGGCGCATCAGAACAACTATTGGGGCAGCATCTCAAACTCTCTCGGCTTCCATCCTGCTCAGATGCCAATGGCTCCGAACCAACTCCGCGTCATATACGAGCGCAACCTAATGAAGTTCGAAGACGCATGGTCCACCAGCAGGGCAAAACAGATGCAACAGCAGCAGCAACAACAGCAACAGGCTCAGCAACACCAGGGACAGCAGGCTGGAATGCAGGTTGCGACCCCCGGAACACCGACGAGGCCAGGGATGTCTCACGGCCAGATGCCGCCCGGACATATGATGCAGCAGCCTGGCCAACATCCCGCCATGACCCACGCCCAAGTCATGACCCCGATGAAGCAGATGCCGCAGCCAGGTGTTAATGGATTTGTGCAGCCTCAACCGCAGCCCAACGCGATGCAAGGTCACTCGCGAAACAGCCTGTCTCGAAGCATCCAAGGAACACCGACTCACGATGATTTCGCGCACCCCTCTCCGAGTGCTGTTAAGACGCCGAGGACATCGACATCAGGTCCATTGCCACACGATCCGAGTGTGAAACTGGAGCATCAGCTCATGACCGCCCCTCCGCCGCCGGAGAAGGACCCTGACACATACTTCCCTCTCAAGCGACACTACCAAGACCACGGGCATGTTACGCATGGCGGAGTTCCTGTCGGCGCCTGGGATGATCTGGCCTCGAAATTGCTGGAAACGATTCCCGACGTGCCCCCTGTGGAGGTCTTGGGAAATATCGATATCCTCGCTCTATGCCGCAGCCTTCAGTCTGGTATTCGCGCCGAGGTGCGCAATGCACTTGATTCCCTCGCCATGGTCACGGCTGCCGAGTCCTCGGGGCCGCATCTGCAGATCGATCTCGGGCGGACAGACGAGCTGGTAGAGTGTCTCTTGGAATGCGCCGAAGACCAAATCGAGGTATTGGTGGAGAATACGGCCGAAGTATCGGACGAGGTACTGATAACACCGTACCAAGATGTTGTTCGTGCCTGCTGGCTCGAAAACACAGGCGTTCACGAGGTCTACCCTGTCGGATCTCCCGAGTACGAGGTTGAAAGAGCCGTGGACCACTTGATATGCATTACGACAATTCTTCGCAACCTGTCATTTGGCGAAGCCAACTGGGAAGTACTCGCGGACGAGTCCGTCGTCAAGTTCTTTTGCGTCATAATACGCTACTTGGGCACGCGCAATATGCTGCTCCGGACCCAAGCCAACACGCTGGACTTCATGAAGGATGCCCTTATCATTCTCTCCAACATCTCGACACATATAGAGGTACCTGGGAAGGAACAAGCGCTCTGCTTCCTCCAGTTTCTGCTGGCTTTCGCGCCGGCACCGGCGCCCTGCCTGACTGGCGACCAACTCGTCTTCCCTCCTTACCAGCCCAAAGTCCAGCCATATCTGCCAGCGGCCGTGGACGCACTCGCGAAGCTCCTCGTCAGCAAAGAGCAAAACCGGGACCATTTTGCGAGCTTATACGCCAGTGAGGCATCCCAGGCGCCAGCCTACGATTTGCTCACTCGGTCTTTTGGATTGGCAGTCTCTGTCATTCCAGACTTCAACATGGAGTCTCGATCACCCCTGTCTGATGCGCGCAGGCCTGTCCTGATGCAGGGCCTTCTCGCCGCTCAGACACTCGCCGCCCTGGCACCTGGTCAAGACTCTGGTGTAACCCGCAGCTGGCTCTCGTGCGGAAACGGTCTCTCGCAGAATCTTATCCATCTGGTAAAGAGGTTAGGTCGCCAGTTTGAAACTGCACAGATGGTTGTCCCACCCCCACAGCGGAACCAACGGTCAGGCCGGGGCGCCGTAGCACCGCAACCACAGCCTCGACACACGGAAAAGACGATGGAGCTCGTTTACATGGTCGTGCTAGCCATCTCACTGCTCAGGCGACTGACAGAGAAATCACGAGACCCATCGGACCCCATGGGATCGATTCCGCCGAATGCGCTGCCTAGCCGATCTACCCTGCTTGAATTGCTGGCGATGCGACACCCGGAGTGGACTAGTCACGGGATGCTCCAACAGCTCGTTGCTTATGCTGCGCTAGAGGACTGTTGATACAAGCAGTTATGTCTGGCTAGCGCCTCTTTCTGGGTAACGCGGGGCCTGGGGGCCAACACTCCCCGGGTCGTACCGCCCAGCTGAGCCCCGGGCGGGTGGGATTGGCTAGTATGCTTGAGACGATTGCTCTTTTGCTTCGTAAAAAGAAATTGGCATCGGGGCGTATGGATATAACGGTGTCGGCCTTTTTGTTTCTGGTGTATCGTGGGGTTAAATAGGCCGTGTTATGATTCCGATCGGACTGGGAAAGGCTGCTCGTGCTTAGGGTGTTTGCCTTTTGATTTCCTTTCTCGCTTTTCTTTTCTTTCTTGGAACACTCCTTCGTTCACCTTCGGCTGTTACTTATCTATCGTACCCTCATTGCCGAGTGAACGAGCGGAAGGGGAGATATGTTCCTGGTGTTATTAGTTCCCGCCATTTCGTGATTGTATATGATACAGCGTACATTTTCTTCGTATGCCTCTCTGCCTACGTTCATAGCACCATTATGGGCCGGACGATTATATCTATGCATAACGGCAAGGGTTTCTCTCGACTTGTCAGTGAAGTCGTGATCGGTGCAGTTGGTCTGCCCGGTATTTCGGCTACGCTACGCATTTGGGTGTCGAAGTGTGAATATCTGGCTGGATTGTCCAGCCCGACAGCTGATTATGGATCGGATTTGATATCAGCCCCGTTATACTCCAAAAGCCGTGCCCCCTTTCCTCGTTATAGTACACAATGTTATGCGTTGGTTTTAGTACATTCTCTTGCTCGAGCCAGATGTAAAACAAGCGGAATCTCGCGACCACGGGTCTTCAGAAGCCCATTTCTTGCAGAATGGGCGCCAGTTGGGCTTTGACATGGCCCTAAGGATGGAGGACGGGATTTTCCTCGTGGTCAGCAGCCGTTTCGGATCAAATATAGCTAAGTAGTCGAGCGCGGTTCCTTTTTGTTTTTCTTCTTCGTCTCTTTTTGCCCGTAATCTCACCTTTATCCTGATGTGGTTCGTCCTTGGGTTTACCAAGACCTTCTCGTCGTCCAGCTGCAGCAGGCGCACCAACTCGAGCCTGAGGGCGGCGCTGTTGCCCTCGATTTTCCTCAGCAGGGTCCTGGGGCCTCTCTGTGTGTCCTCGTATATGGGCAGCTTGTTGGACGGCGTGCGGGCGACAAAGTAGTTGAGCTCCCCACGTCTCCCGGCTCTCGCGTCGACTTGCGTTGCGGCAGCGGTACTCGGCGTCGCCGCCGGCGGTGCCTGAGGGAGAGGGGATGCTGCGGAGGTGGTAGTGGGGGTGGCGGTGGGGGTATCGGTGATCGTTGCCGTCGTGTTTGCCGCGGCGCTATATGTTCGTCTCGCCGCTGGTGTTGCGATGACAAGCCTGTAGGCTGGTGCGAGGCTGAGAGGGGCGGCGGGGAGCGCGCGCAGGATGCGGGAGGCGGCCATTGTTTGGGTTCGGGGAGGCGTGGCGATCTGGGAGCGTCGGGTCGACGGGCGGCGCGAAGGGACGGTCTTGCTGGGCTGTCGGCTGGCTTCTCCTTTAAAATCGCTCGTGCCCTCTCTCCCGCTGCCAGCACCCGCTTGGTGATGCAGCAGTTGGTGCCATCCTGAAGCTGCGGCTGCGACGAATCCTCACCGCCAAACGGCAGAAAAATTATCGGCGGCGGAATATCCCACCATTCCGTCGCGGCTTTCATCCCAAGCACCCAAGGCAGTGAATCAGTGGGCGCCAGTCTGCGGGGCCGCACCAAAAAAAATCGATTGCTGCAAAAATCGCAGCCAGCGCAGGCGTGCCCCACGAAAGTCGGCATCCCCCACTATTTCCCAGCTCGACCCTACCACAACAAACAGCGCCAGGAAGGCTCTGGCGGCGACGACGACATTGCAAAGGCCTAACCAGCCGCCGAACGACGGCCCTGCGAAAAAAAAACCTCGGCTAGCCGACGGCGGGCACGGCCGATCCCACACCAAACCACCTCCCCCCCCAAGATGGCGGCGCCAACAACGGACGAGGAGTCGCTCGCCGAGTTCGACCTCCTGCCCAAGCTGGTCAGCCACCTGGACCGACACCTCATCTTCCCGCTGCTGGACTTCAGCAGCAACCAGTGCTACGATGAGGAGACCAACGAGGCCAAGGACGCCGAGAAGGCGCTCGAGATCACCAAGGCCAAGTACGAGCTGCTCAAGAAGACCAACATGACCGACTACGTCGCCAACCTGTACTGCGAGTTGCAGGGCATCGGCGAGCCGCCCGCTGAGTTCGCCGACAAGAGGCAAAAGGTCATCGCGCGCCTGCAGCAGTACGAGGAGTCGGTCAACAAGCTGCGCGATCTGCTCGACAACGAGGAGGTCACGGGGAACCTGCGGAGCGACAAGGTGGCCAACTTGGAGTACCTTAAGAAGGAGCACGAGGTAAGGCCGCTCTCCTTTTGTCGTGATTTAGCGTGCCGCAACCTGTCCAGCGCGCGAGTTTCGGTTCATAACAGAATGTCTGCTTTCCCCGTAACAGGTGACCATCGAGATGGTCGACGCCCTCTACGACTTTGGCAACTTCCAGTACAGCTGCGGCAACTACTCGGGCGCCGCCGAGCTGCTGTACCAGTTCCGCGTCCTGTCAACCGACAACGACAAGGTCTCGGCGGCGACGTGGGGAAGGCTGGCGTCGGAGATGCTCAGCGGCAACTGGGAGGGCACCATGGAGGAACTTAAGACGGTCCGCGAAAGCATCGACTCGAGGCTGTTTAGCAACCCGCTCGCGCAGCTGGAGCACCGCACCTGGCTGATTCACTGGGCTCTGTTCCCCCTCTTCAACGACGAGTCGGCACGCGAGCCGCTGCTCGAGATGCTCTTCTCCCCCAACTACATCAACACCATCATGACGAGCTGTCCGTGGATCCTGCGCTACCTGGCCGTCGTCGTGATTGCCGGGAGGGGACGTGTGCGCAACACGGGCATGCACCAGAAGCAGCTCAAGGACGTGGTGCGCGTCGTCAAGCAGGAGGGATACGAGTACTCGGACCCCGTCACCGACTTTGTGCGGGCGCTCTACATCGACTTTGACTTTGAGGAGGCGCGGCGGCAGCTTCCCCGAGCCGAGGAGGTGCTGCGCACCGACTTCTTCCTCATCTCGACGACGGACGCCTTTGTCGACGCGGCAAGACATCTGTTCTTCGAGTCTTACTGCAAGATCCACGCCCGCATCGACCTCAAGCGACTCAGCGAGCAGCTCGGCCTCAACGTCGACGACGGCGAGAAGTGGATCGTCAACCTGATCCGCGACACGCGCCTCGACGCCAAGATCGACTTCCAGGAGGGCACCGTCATCATGAACCACCCCAACAGCAGCGTCTACCAGCAAGTAATCGAGCGCACCAAGGGCGGCTTCTTCAGGACCCAGGTCTTGACGGCGGCCGTGGCTCGCTAGGAGGAGGGTCACGATGAGGCGGCAGTCCAAGAACATGGACAAGAAATAAGCGAGGGACAGTAATGCACAATGGATTATTTGTCCCCGACTAGCCAACAATATCCCTCCGCCACAGCTCTCACGACCATGCATACACTTTCCTAGACAACAAATGGGAAAGAAAAAAAGGTCCGGCGTTTAGATGTGATGCCCTGCTTGGGCAAACCCGGAGGCAAGTATCTGGCCTTCTTTCTTCTGGAAGGTGGGCAGGTTATAGGAATTGCATTCCGGACGGTGTTATGGGCTCTGGGTTTTTTTTATTTTTATTTTTATTTTGTCCCTCAATACACTGGGTTTTGGGGTCTCTTCCTGTTTCAATGACAACATGGCTTTCCATAGGCTCTATGACAACAGCACGACGCACACAAGTGAAGCCCCTTCGTTGGCAGTATTTGGTCTTGGTCTCTGATGGACACTAGCGATAATATTGCTTCCCTCTCAGTATCATTCGTCGTCTAGTAGGCAGTCTAGGACTGAGCACTAGGGGATATGTTGGGATCAAGCATAACTGAATGTTCAATACCTAGGCCACTGTTGGTCCGATTCTATTCTCATTCGCCGCCACCAGAGCCAAGCCGGGCGACGCTTTGCTTGTGTGATGATGCTTGTCTAATTTGCCACGGACGAAGTGGTATCGAGTGTCGGGACGCACCCACCTTATATGCTGAGGAACGGTGCGCAAGAAGCAAGGTAGAGGAGGGGCAGGACAAAACGAGCGAGAGCACATGCTATGCCTTTTCCTGGTATATCTTGACCCAGTTGAACAGCCAGTACGCCTCCTTGTAGGCTTGCGGGTTGGCGGCCACGTAGGCCTCGCAGGAGCCGCCCTTGGCGGAGCGGCACTGCGGCCAGCCCTCGGTCTGGACCTTCCAGTTGTAGATGGAGCTGCCGCAAAAGGTGGTGTTGATGATCTGTGTGTACCGGTTTTCCGGTGTCAGGACACGAGCCGTGGAGAGGAGGAGGGAGGAGAAGGAGGAGGAGAAAAGATATAGCATACGATGGACAGGTTCTTGAACATCTTGGAGACGTTGCAGCTCTTGCTGGACGGGAAGTTGGCCATGAGGTTCGGCCAGCCCGTCGTGTTCGGCTTGCCCATGTTGATGTCGAAGGGGATGTTGCCGCGCGGGTGGAACCAGACCTTGATGCCGTCCGAGTTGAGCTGCAGCGCGTAGACGCCGCCGCCGTTCTTGTTGAAGCCGTCGCCGTAGCTGTCCTTGGCGCCCGTCAGGCCGCAGCCGGCACTTGCGTTTTTTTTTCGTGTTAGCCTCTCTCTCTCTCTCTCTCTCTCTCTACTCTCTCTCTCTCGTCTCTCTCTTCTCTCTGTCTCTCTCTCTCTCTCTCTCTCTCTCTCTCTCTCTCTCTCTCTCTCTCTCTCTCTCTCTCTCTCTCTCTCTGGAGCTAAGGACCTATACAGAGGATTTCCGGCTTTCCGCGTACTGGCGGCCCAAACATGAAAAGGCAAGGTAAAAGCGTGGGCTTGTTCAGGTCGGGTTATATGAATGTGCGGGCGGGCGGCAGCCATGTGTTTCACCTTTCCTTATCGCCGTCTATTCCCTCGCTTTGTTTTTGGAAAGGTTCGTTTTGCTTGGCTTCGCTGGTCTCTCCATCTTTTTGTATCCTTATCCTGTACTCTGTTTCGGACCTT